ACATGGGACTAGCTTTAGTACAGAATCTTATATTTTCTTGGTTGGTGTTTTATTGCTTGTCTTTTTTTCCTGGTTTAATTTAAAACTAGGCAATGTATTTACATAAACTAAGTCACTACTACAATGTATTACTCCTACAATATCACTAAACGAAAGCAGAAACACAGATAGATACAAAATTTAATTTTTCAAGTAATGCTATGTACACTTTATTGCCTGTATATCCACAATGGTAAGCAGTGAACTATAAATACACAATGTAATTGAACAGTAGAAACAAGAATGTTACACATAAGAGAATGAGGAAGAAAAAGGCTATTTTCCTGATTTGCAGCTGCTAAAAAAGCCAGTGATGAATAATGTAATTTTCCCCTTACATTTATTTCTAAAGTATTTTCCCAACAGACAGCTTTCAGCAACAGCAAATTGTATTTTCAGTAATCACATATTATCTTTTCCAGTCAGAATAATTTCTGATAAAAATCAAAGTAACTTATTAGATAACTGCAAGTATTCTATTTATTACAAAGTAATAAGCAAATTGTGATATTAGTTCTTTTAAAAACAATATTTGGCTGCATGTTAAGGTATTAAACTCTGAACATATATTGTAGTAGCAAAGGAACAAAAAATAAAATAAAAATAATTATTTTATAGACAATGTTTTTCACAAGACATTATTGATAGCAGCTTAGTCAAAAGTATTCACCCTGAAAGAGGTAGAGAGAATCTTAATCTAGCAGAAAAACCCATCATCCTTGGCACTGCTATAATCTCTCCTGTAAATACACAATCCCTAAAACAAGATAATTCAACAAAGAATCATTTCAGGTATTGTGAGATGGGTACACATCTTATTCTCACCCCCCCCCCCCCAGATAAGAATCTTGGTACTTTTGTCTGAGATACAGAAGTAAATTTATTTTCATTCTCTCTTTGACTATTCATTTCATAAATATAAGGATGCATTATTCACAATAAACTTTTTAAAAGGTTACAGAAACAACCTGAAAACATTTCTATATCTTAGTCCAGATGGCTGCAATAACACCAGTTCAAGATAACCTCAAGATAACCATGCAATAAATTTAGGGCACTTTCCAATTCAAATTAAACTCCTAAACCAGTGGTTTTAAGAGTTTTCCCCATTCCATGCCTTTAAAATAATCAGTGCACAAATCTCCAATCTTGCAACGTATCATTGTGGAACAATTTCCTGCAGTGATGTCATATATCCTTATGTGAGTGAAATTGACAGAAGTACTGGTTTCAATAATTAATTTGAGAGGAAGTATTCTACTAACAAATGATAAAATAGACATACCAAGCAGGCTTATACAAAGCATTCTATTCTGAACCATCTTGCTTGAAGATGATACAGGTGGTTCATATCCATTAAGTGATTTTGTTAATCCTGATCTAGGAAAGCAGGATGCTATAAAACCCAATTTTGCAATACTATATTCTGTATAGCTCCTTCATGGATTAATTACTGCCTTGTCATGGCAAAGGGGCTTGCGTAACTCAATGAAGCTATGAGCTATGCCGTGCAGGGCCACCCAAGATGGGCAGGTCGTAGCAGAGAGTTCTGACAAAATGTGATCCACTGGAGAAGGAAATGGCAAACCACCCCAGTATCTTTGCCATGAAAACCCCATGGACAGTACCAAAAGGCAAAAAGATATGATGCTGGAAGATGAGCCCCTCAGGTTGGAAGGTGTCCAATATGCTATTGGGGAAGAGCAGAGAGCTAGTACTAGTAGTGCCAGAAAGAGTGAAACGACTGGGCCAAAGCCAAAAGGACGCTCAGCTGTGGATGCATCTGGTAGTGAAAGGAAAGTCCGATGCTGTAAAGATCTTTTCTCCATAGGAACCTGGAATGTAAGATCCAGGGAATCAAGGCAAGCTAGACGTGGTCAAACAAGAGATGACAAGACTGAACATCGACATCTTAGGAATCAGCAAACTAAAATGGACAGGAATGGTTGAATTTAATTCAGATGATCATCAGGTATACTACTGCAGGCAAGAATCCCTCAGAAGAAATGGAGTAGCCTTCATAGTCAATAAAAGAGTAGGAAAAACAATACTGGGATACAATCCCCCAAAATGACAGAATGATCTCAGTTCAAATCCAAGGCAAACCATTCAATATCACAACAGTCCACGTTTATGCCCCAACCACTGGTGCTGAAGATGATGAAATTGACTGGTTCTATGAAGCCCTACAGCACCTTACAGAATTAACACCAAAAAATGATGTCCTCATCATCATGGGGGATTGGAATGCTAAAGTAGGAAGCCAAAAGATAACCGGAATAACAGGCAAGTTTGGCCTTGGAGTACAAAATGAAGCAGGGCTGATAGAATTTTGTCAAGAGAATACGATGGTCATAGCAAACACTCTTTTCCAACAACCCAAGAGATGGCTCTACACATGGACATCACCAGATGGTCAACACAGAAATCAGATTGACTATGTGCTCTGCAGCCAAAGATGGAGAAGCTCTATACAGTCAGTAAAAACAAGACTAGGAGCTGACTGTGGCTCAGATCATGAGCTTCTCATTTCAAAATTTGGGCTTAAATTGAAGAAACTAGGGAAAAACACTAGGCCACTCAGGTATGAACTAAATTATATCCCTGATGTATATACAGTAGAAGTGACAAGTAGATTTAAGGAATTAGATCTGATAGACAGAGTGCCTGAAGAACTATGGATGGAGGTTTGCAACATTGTACAAGAGGTAGAAACTAAAACCATCCCAAAGAAAAAGAAATGCAAGAAAGCAAAATGGCTGTCTGAGGAAGCTTTGCAAATAGCTGAGGAAACAAGGGAAGCAAAAGGCAAGGAAGAAAGAGAAAGATACACCCAATTGAATGCAGAATTCCACAGAATAGCTAGAAGAGATAAGAATGCTTTCTTAAATGAACAGTGCAAAGAAATAGAAGAAAACAATAGAATAGGGAGAACCAGAGATCTCTTCAAGAAAATTGGAGATATGAAGGGAACGTTTCATGCAAAGATGGGCATGATAAAAGACCAAAATGGCAGGGACCCAACAGAGGCAGAAGAGATTAAGAAGAGGTGGCGAAAGTACACAGAAGAACTATACAAGAACGAGCTTAACGTCCCAGATAACCACGATGGAGTGGTCACCGACCTTGAGCAGACATCCTAGAATGTGAAGTGAAATGGGCCTTAGGAAATCTGAGCAACAACAAAGCTAGTGGTGAAGACAGTATTCCAGCTCAGCTATTCAAAATCTTAAACAACGATGCAGTAAAAGTACTACACTCAATTTGTCAGCAAATTTGTAAAACTCAGCAGTGGCCACAGGATTGGAAAAGGTCAGTTTACATTCCAATTCCAAAGAAAGGCAATGCCAAAGAATGTACAAACTATTGCACCATTGCACTCATTTCACATGCTAGTAAAGTTATGCTTAAAATCCTACAAGCTAGACTCCAGCAGTATGTGGATCGAAAACTACCAAAAGTACAGGCAGGATTTTGAAGAGGCAGATTGCCAACATACACTGGATCATGGAGAAAGCTAGGGAGTTTCAGAAAAACATTTACTTCTGCTTCATTGACTATGCTAAAGTCTTTGATTGTGTGGATCACAACAAATTGTGGCAAGTTCTTAAAGAGATGGGAGTATCAGACCATCTTATTTGTCTCTTGAGAAACCTATATGCGGGTCAAGAAGCAACAGTGAGAACTGGACACGGAACCACTGGTTGCTTTAAAATTGGGAAAGGAGTCCGGCAAGGCTGTATACTGTCGCCCTGCCTATTTAACTTATATGCAGAGCACATCATGAAAAAGGCAGGGCTAGATGAATCAAAAGTTGGAATTAAGATTGCTGGGAGTAATATCAACAACCTAAGATATGTAGATGATACCACTCTAATGGCAGAAAGTGAAGAGGAACTAAAGAGCCTCTTGATGCAGGTGAAGAAGGAGAGTGCAAAAGTTGGCGTGAAACTCAACATTAAGAAAATCAAGATCATGGCATCCGGCCCTCTCAATTCCTGGCAAACAGATGGGGAAGAAATGGAGGTAGTGACAGATTTTACCTTCCTGGGCTCCAAAATTACTGCAGATGGGGACTGCAGTCAAGAAATTAAAAGACGCTTGCTCCTGGGGAGGAAAGCTATGGCAAATCTAGACAGCATATTAAAAAGCAGAGACATCACCCTGCCAACAAAACTGCGTATAGTCAAGGCCATGGTTTTCCCAGTTGCAATGTATGGCTGTGAAAGTTGGACCATAAAAAAGGCTGAGTGCCAAAGAATTGAGGCCTTTGAACTATGGTGCTGGAGAAAACTCCTGCGAATCCCTTGGACTGCAAAGTTTTCAAACCGGTTAGTCTTAGAAAGATCAACCCCGACTGCTCTTTAGAATGGAAGATCCTGAAGTTGAAACTCAAATACTTTGGCCACCTAATGAGAAGGAAGGACTCACTGGAGAAGAGCCTAATGCTGGGAAAGATTAAAGGCAATAGAAGAAAGGGACGACAGAGAATGAGGTCGCTGGATGGAGTCACTGAAGCAGTAGGAGTGAGCTTAAATGAACTCCAAAAGATGGTAGAGGACAGGAAGACCTGAAGGAACTTTTGTCCATGAGGTCGCGATGGGTTGGACACGACTTCGCAACTAACAACATCATTCTGAATAGATTTCCATACAGGAGTTGTCCTCCTAATTTGCATTGAATTTTTGTTTATATGACAAATAGTCAATGGTTCATCAATCAAGCTTTATGGACATTGCTTTCTGCTCCGCTATTGGCATTATGATAATATATGGTTGCTTTATCCTCAGTATAGAGACTAGTCTAGCTGCGGTTCAGCTCAATCCAGCATTGATATTTGCTGTCTTCCCACTTTGTGCATCCAAGCAGAAGCACCCCTCCCCAAAAATTATTCTTAAAACCAGGAAGGAAGAACCATGTTATTTTGCAGTTTAGTAAAAATGAGGAAATTTAGACCATACTTAAAACTTAAAGGCATTCCTGTTTAATTAGTTTTTTTGAAAAATAAAAATGTACATTAACACTGATAAAAAATCAATGGAAAGACACACAGAGGAGTGCAAACAGAAAACATGATGGGTTAGTTAAAAAAATATGTTGCTTCAGTCAAGTGATATTAATACTGTCTTTTTCCTTGGATATGGAATTACTGGAACAGTCACATGCAGGCTGAGAGCAGCCCTTCATTGGGGGGGGGGGGAGATTGAGAGGGAGAAGAGCTCCAAAAATGCATTTGAGAATTTTCCTTTTACTGATGTGCCTTTCCTCCTAGTTAAAAGATGGGTTTCAGGATTACTAGCTTTGTCCTGGAACATCTGCTGAGGCATCACCTGTTCCAGATCCTGTTTGTGCACGCTTGATATAAAGATTCAACAATTTCATCTGCAGATTTAAATTAGTAAATAACATGTTTAGTTCTTATAACATATTTAGATATGTCAGACAAATATTTTTTAATTTTTAAACTAACAGTGAATGAACAATGAACATTAAAAGAACAATGAAAAAGATTTGTAATGGAATGATATATACAGAGGAAAGAAGCCTAATCAGAACTATAGAACATACAACTTATTGGAATAATTCTCACATTAATATTCTCCTCAAAATAGTTTTAATTTACTGTATATAACGATTGATATAACTTAATTAAGACTTGGTTCAGACATGATAAGGAACAACAGTCCTTTTTTCATCTTCAAATTTTTATTATAAAGATAGATGCTTTCAGTTCTAAATGATTTGTGACTGCTGAACTGGGTGAACTGTAGTTTGTTTGATAATTTCAAAATCTGAAACTGTGTTTTGATCCTGCCATAGTTTAACAAAGCACAATTTGCAAGGCATAAATGGCACAAGAAAAAAGGTTGATTTTAAACTCTAAATGGAAGTTTTTAAATCTTCGTATATGGAAACAGAAATGGAAATTTGTTATTTCTTAGATCTAGACTATTGATATATGGGCCTATATCTTATATTCATACCACTGATAAATGGTTTAAATGTCAATTATTTGCCCTCAACTTTTTAGTACTGTTAACTAATTAAGATATTTTTAAAGCAACATCACAATCTTAATTTAAAAATAAAATTTCATTGATTTTACTCTATAATAAAACTTCCTTATGTTTTCCTAAGAGCTTAGGTTCTTTACACTGAGTAGCATGAGTTTTATAAGTGAAAAAGCTATCATTTGTAATTATAATTCCATGAATGATAACTTTTTTTTTCTTCAATCAAATGCATGTCTAATCAAAACTATTACAGGTAGTCTTTGACTTACGACTACAATTGAGTCCAAAATTTATGTTGATAAGAAGACAGTTATTGAGTGAGTTTTGTTCCATTTTACGACCTTTCTTGCCACAGTTAAGTGAATCACTGCAGTTGTTAAGTTAGTAACAATTGTTAAGTGAATTTCTCCATTTGCTTGAGAGAAGGTTGCAAAAAGTGATCATATGACCTGGAGACACTGCAATTCTCATAAAACATGCCAGTTGTCAAGACTCTGAATTTTAATCACGTGACCAGAGAGATGTTGCAAGGTCATAAGTGTGAAAAATTATCGTAAGTTACTTTTTTCTAGTGCTATTATAATTTCACTAAATTAATGTAAGCTGAAGACTACCTGCAATTGATTTCAAAAGGTTTTTTTAAAAATGTATATAGAAGTGCTTGTTAAAGAACTTTTGTCAAGCTACATAAATAAAACAGTATTACTACATTTAAAAATTGTTTAAATAGCAGTGACTATTAAAAAATTTGAAACAAAAGATGACATAAAATTCTGTCCAAATGAGATTTTTCTTTATTTAGAATTTAATACATATTTGGCATATTACTTGATACTATGGGATACAATCCCAGTCTCACTCCACTGGGATTGGCCCGTACCACTCGTGCTGGCAGAGGAGGCATGCTGTGCGTCCTATCAGCCTGATTATTCAACTGGTGGGGTTCAGGAGAATGGCCTTCTCTACTGTTGCTCCTACCTTGTGGAACATCTCCCCCCCCCATATGAGGTTGGCCACAGCCTTCTTCCTATCTTTTCGTAAGAGTCTAAAAACATGGCTCGGGCAATTGGCTTAGGGCCCCAGTCAGGGAATCAGCACAATGGAGGTGGTAGATTGAGTTATAACAGACTCCACCTCCTTCTCCACTCCATCCCACCCTCACCATGTATCCTTGATTTAGTGTCTGATTTTAACATGTTTTAACTGTATATGTAACTGTAAGCCACCCAGAGTTACCCTATAGTAAGATGGACAGCCAATAAATGTTAGAAATAAATAAAATAATAAATAAATTGTACAAGCCTCTCAATGATTGAATATTATCAACAGCTTTGATAATAAATTTTAATGCTCATAGGGTACTTTTTACTTTCTATTTAATTAACTATTAACTATTTAATTAACGTATACTTCATTTTGCTTTATAGAGTAAGTTTCATCTATGGTATAATGGCAATTATTGTTTGTAATCAGGAATTAATTACTGAAGAGAAAAAAGGGCATCAAGTATATGAGCACAATGTTCATTCAATAAGACCGAAATTTTGATGCTGTCATCTTTATACTTTCTTTATAACATTTTAGCAACTTTTATTTCAAGCATGCTGATTAAATCATTGCCTAGTTTATTATTCTCATTTTCAGTAAGTTGTCTATCATTTCTCTAGCCAAATTACTCAAGACAATTGATTTGAATAGTATTTTTCCCCAGTTCACACTATTGTTAAAGAACTGGATATCTGACTGCTATCTTTGACTAAGAGAAACAGTATGTAACAGACAAATCTTCCAATATAAAGCTATGACATTCTAGATGCTTTTGTATGCAGGATTACGAATTGAACTAACAGCTTTCCAATTCACAGTCTAAAATCATATAACTGCATGAAGCTACCATGATTTCACTGAAGTTTAAAACTATATGTTTTATTCAAGTCCTTATAGTGTGTATATCAACAACCATATTCATTTATATTTTGTCAATCTATTTATACATTTCATTTTCCAATACACTTCCAGATTCAAATAATAGCCAAAGTGAGATGCTGAACAAATTTCTGTCCCTAAGACCCCCTCCACCTTTTTTTTTCTAATCCCCATAATTAGAAAAAAATCAAAATCAGGTCCTGGTATGGCATGTCACTTACTTTGCTACCTGTGAGTTGACTAAGATGTGGCTTCAGCTCATCACCAATTACTGCATGAATAGCTACAAGGCAGAAAACACATGCCTTTCGAACGCTGCTTTCAGAGTTATCATAGCCCTAGAAAAGAAGTAATTGAAATGCATATCAATCCAAATAAAAATGATATTCCTAAAACATATTTAGAAAAATTATATTTCAATCAAATATTCTATAAAACTAGAAGATTACTTGAAAAATTAAATAATCTTTTGAAAAATACTTTTTCAACGTTCTTTCTATTGTTTTTGTTTCTGTATCTTCTTACCTGTATTAAACCTGGCACTATCTCTGGCAAAAGCTGAGCAAGAATTTCTTTAGGTACTCTTTCAATAACTTTGGTCTGCATTTTGATTGCAGCCAGATTTATAGGATAATCTGCTGTTTGAATGATGGGACAAAGTACTTTAATGCATTGATCTGGACTAATGGATGTAGCCAACATAGTAGCAGCCTCTTCAGCTGATCTTACCACCTAATGGATTAAAGAAAAATATAGAAATCGAATAATGTTACACTTGTATAGTTTTTTTGATATGTAAAATATTAAATGTCAATATATTTTGCTTTACAATAGAAATTTCTGTCAGAACAGCAGTATATTATCAATATTGATACAACAGTATCAATATTTAAACAAAATAGCTTCAGATTTGAAATTTATCTGGATATGTTGGAAAAATGAACTAATATATCTAGGAAATATTCCGTAACAACTTTTATTGACATTACAACTATGCTAATTTTAAAATGAAAAAAATCATTCTAGAAAATATGAGATATGTATATGTTCAAATTTCTGTTATATCTACATCTTAATCCATTATTTCCAATTAAAATGAATTCATGAGAGGAAATGTAATTAATTGCCACATTTACTGCCTTGTAATATACAAAAATAAAACTAATGAATATATTGACATTATTGTTTAATAATAAAACTGACAGAACAGACAATAATATCCCTAGAAGCATTTAAACTTTGTAGACAATTTTATGTGTTGGGAAAATGATAAGGATCTTACTTAGCAAGGAGGTCCATGATCAAAGATTAAAAGATTTTCATACCTTGTTAAAACAGATGTTCATAAAAATCTGTATTATTTGAATTTTTTTTGAATAGGATATATGATTTTCTCAATTCCTGAAATTTGTCTTATGAAAAAATTATATTCTTTATCTTCCTCACTGAATACCATATTATTACTTCAATCAGTTTAATATTGTTTAATACAAAGTTGTATACAAACCTCCTTATGAGGGTCCTTATGAGCTTCTAAAGTCTTCATTATTGTGAGTTCTGCATAATTTCTAAACCTTGCTGGTTGATGTCTTAAAATTTCTCTTAAGACTTTCAGTGCCAGGGCTCTAATTGAATGCTGAAAGTTTAAGGATTGTTAATTAGTTTTGCTCATATAACTTTCAACTCATTATTGTTGATAATGGAACTATTTAGTATTATATTTTTGAAATTTTATTCCAAATATTGAAGTTTTTTCTTCACAACCTCATTTGATAAAGAATTGTACACATTAATTTAGTATTTATACATTACACATTATTTTAATAAAATAGTAGCTAGGACTTTATTATAACTGCATGGTGTGATTGTGATATCACTAAGAGACACTTTACTTTAAGGAGACTGAAATACTGAAAAGTGTATTCTACTGTCTGTATTAAAGAATATAGTTATAATAAAGCAATATGCCCCTGTTTTTCACCTATTTTTAAAGTTAGTAATCCTGACATAAGTAACATTCAAGAGGGACCCAAAGGTGCTTTTTAAAAAGGCAAACTTTCTTTATTTTTCCTTGAAGACTTTTTGCTTCCCATCCAAGAAGCTTCTTCAGCACTTTTGGGACAATCATGACTTGGATGATGAAGAATCTCCATACACATTCAAGAGAGCCACAATGGTATAGTAGTTAAAGAGTTAAACTGGAAAACGGAGATTGAATTTTAGTCCTCCTTATGAAAGCCCAATGGATAATTTTTTGGTGTAATTATTCTCTCAAACCAACCCACCTCACACTGTTATTATTGTGGCAAAAAGAGACTATCAGATCATTATGTATGCCACCTTGAGTTGTGTTAAAAATAAAGGCAAGTTATAAATTTAATAATTATAATATTAGTAACTTCATCATCCGGGCAAATAAAACTATTATATAATTTTTCTTTGTCCATTTTGGGCTTTACCTCTTTGTCTCCAAGAGTTTCAAGTAACAAAAGAAGAATTGTTTTGAAATGCTCATCCCAAACACCAAAAGACTCCTCCTGAGTCAATTTCATTAGCTCATAAAGAGCAGCTTTCCGTTCTTCAGCTCTCTCATTATGGTTTGATAACTCCTTTAGCAATTCTGCAACTAGATCAGAATGGTCCAGGGAAGGTTCTATAGCAAAAGTAAAATTATTTAATTAGTAAAAAGAGTATCATTCTTCTTACTTTACATGTCAAGGTATATATTTATAAAACAATAGATAAACAACATGGGGATGGAACATAACCCTGATATCATATTTCATTTTATTACAAAATATGGCATTTATTATTAAAATCTCCTACTATGAACAAGGATGTTCTCTTCACCACCCATTGGGAGTAAGACTTTTTGAAAAGAAAAGAAAAAGCACAAAGGACTACACTAAGAGGAACATTTTTCTCTACAGAGTGATCACCCTAAGATCCTTAGCTATGGAAGGCGTTGGAAGCTATGGAAGGATTCAATCTCGCCTCAAATCATTTTTAATTTTTTTGACCCTCTTTACCAGTATAAAATGTTATTACTTTCTCAAAAACTTTTACATAAGCATCTCAGCAGTGGTAGTCATACATAGAATCTGCAAGTCACAAACAAGCCCAAACTGAAGATATGCCCAAATTACCCCTTGAGGGTAATCACCCCAGTTTAAGAACCAGTGATTTAGATCCTTTCTCATCTTTACCTTAAGAGAAATCTTAAAAGACACCAAAAAATATGCCATGTTTTCTTCCTAGGTTGCCTTTACAAAAATATCGATTGAGTTAATTCCTATTGTATATTGAAAGAAATACTGCATTATGTTTGGAAAAAAGATGAACCTTAGCTCCTAGTAATAAAATTTGCATGGCTACATGTGTAATAAAAAAATAAAAAGCAATAGAAAAAGGTAGTATCAGATCTATTTTTGGTGCAAAGGAAGCTAAATGGAAGTATCTATGAGGAAGTGTGACTTGAAAAGGACTACAGGTAATCTTCGAGTTATGAGTTTAACGGAGCCTGCCCATTCCATTCGTAACTTGAAAACCCGTAGAGTGAATCTTGTACTTCGAACGAGATCACCCCCTTGCTCATTAAGACTTCCTTTCAATAAGATTCCTTGCGTTTTGAAGCACCCGTGTGAAGGCACAGAAAGGAGTGCTCCGTTTCTCAAGTGCCCTATTCCAGGCATATTGAGCTTGTAGTCTTTGCCAGATCTCCATTGGGAAAAAAAAATGTTTCAGCACCTGTAGAGCGCTTCCAAACGCAGGGATTGGCTGCATTTGGAAGTGCTCTGTAGGTGCTGAAAGACTTTTTATTTCAACAGAGATCTGGCAGAGACTGCAAGCTCTGTATGCCTGAAATGGGGCACTTGAGAAATGGAGCGCCCCTTTTCATGCAGTCACACCGGGTGCTTCAAAACACAGGGAATCCCTGCATTTTGAATAGCCCCACCAGAGCAAAAACACTCCACAATCCACAATGCCAAATCCTAACCCCCCCACAACACCCCAGGACATCCACAATGCCAAATCCTAACTCCCAACCCAGGGCAACCACATTCCTTCACTAATCTCATTTCCAGCTCTGTGTGCAGGGCAACAAAAGAAGCTTGTGGGACTAAAAAAAAAAAGAGATCAATCCGACCTTCCAACTTTTTGTGGAAAAAAAAAAATCTCACAAAGTTGGAAAGTCTGATTGACCTTTTTTTTTCTTTTAACCAGTCGTCCCACAGGCCTTTGTTGTCCTGCATGCAGTGGCGGAGAACAGAGTTGGAAAGGTTAGTGAAGGGAGGCTTTGGAGAAGTGAGGGAGATGGGGAAGGGTCTGTCTGGCCGCCGCTGCCTCACTCCGCCAGCATCAGGGCTTGGAGGCTTATTTTCACCAGAAAAAGCCATTTCTCAAGCCCCTTCCTGGCAAAAATGGAGCCAAAGCGTGCCTTGCTCTTATTGAGAACAATCTTGCGAAAACATGTCTCCGGAGCAAGCCGGCCTTATTGAGAGTTCTACGCCTCCATTTCCTTTCACTCAGGCGGAACAGACAAACTCAAGCCTGCTGTCAAACATCTTTCATCCAAACGGAGACCTGAGTCACACGAAGTTTCAAACAATCACAGAGCGTTCCTTTCTGTTTCTGAAGTGCCTCACTGCAGGCACATAGACCTTCCAATTTCTCTCAGAGATTGTGTTTGGATAAAAAGTGTTTGAGCAGCAGCAGCTTGAGTTTTTCCACTCTGTCCCAAAGGAAGAAACCGGAGATGCAGAGCAGGATTGCTCTCAAGAAGATGCAGGTGTGCTGCCTGCACCGGCCTTATTGAAAGCAATCCTGCTCGGTGCCTGTTTCCTTTCACTCGAAGCAGAGAAACTCAAGCCGCTACCGCTCAGTGAAGAGGATGAGAAGAGTGGTGAGGATTTGTGCCAGCTGGCTGGCTGAAGACTAGATCAGGCAGGCTGAGTGGCTGGTTGGGGAAGGGGATCATGGCCGTTCAGGTGGTTGCCACTTCTGCCAGCTTGGATGAGGGTACAAGAGACCTGGCCCCGCGATGTCTCCCCACTTGAAGGCTTTGTTCTTGCCCTCAAACTAAGGATGCAAGCAAACAGCGCACCTGGGCAATGGATGGAATTGATTCTTGCGCCTGGCTGATTCTGATTCCATGCTTTGCCCCATAGGCATGTAAATGAAGCAAACCCTTCCCCTCCAGAGAATGGAAGCTTCCGGGACCGTGATCTCTTTTGCAGAGAATTTGTGTTTGAACTCACATGATATTACAGCACTCAGGAGCTTCCATTGTTGGTGCAAAAAGCTTTTCCAAGCCGATTCTCCTCTCCCTCAAAGAGAAAGAAACCGTGGCAGAGAGGAGACAGATTTTGCAAGGTAAGTAAGTCCGGTGCGGCAGGAAGAGAAGCAGTTGTAGGAAGCAGGGAGAGGAATAAGGTGAATATTGCAGAGCCTCTGTGGTTGGTCGCTTGTAAGGGCGAACGACTGCTGTGTTGCTGCAATAGTTGCAATTTTGGATTTGCTCATAAACGCTAGGAGGCATTGATCACATAATCTCGAATGAGCATTAAGTGAATGCTCATAACTCTAATAAAGTACAGTATATTAGATTGCTAATTTGCCATACCCATTTTGCCATATGAAAGTTACCTAAATGAACAATGTTTATGCATAGCACGTACTGAGAGGGATTAGAAATCAACATTATTCAAGTGGTTGTTTGTTTATTTCCAAACCATAATGTCTTTTATACTCTTTGAATAGAGATAGATGCCAGACTTATCTTTTATCATTTAATAAATTTTCAATCTATTTTTGAATTAAATTTTATTTTGGAAAGTAAAATAAGAACATTCAAATGTCTTTTACTTAAGCTTTTTTCTTAAATATGTATTCCATTAAATTCTATTAGTACAATTTTTTAATTTACTATCATTATAAAAGTGTCCTATTTGGGAACAAATCAGGCAACAAAGTGCTAAGAGATACATATCAGATGTTATAATATTTAATTTTTATAATAAATAAAACTTTCTCTTTTCCCATCAAGCTCTTAAAAATCATATTTTCATGCTGTGTATCATAACTCATGTCCCTTAGTTCAGACAATGGTTTTATTTCTGTTTAGCTGTAATTTTCTTCCAATATACCCATACCCCAATTCTGTTTGTGACAGACTTACCATCAGGAAACTGATCTGCATCATCATCAAACATAGCCTCTTTTAAAGCTGATTTATTAAAAGAACCAACACTATCAGAATAATTGTATGGATTATAGTCACGTGACCGTGGGGAGGAATGAGGAGGCATAGTGTTAAGTAATGAAGTTTTGTTGTCAAGAGCTGTTCGGCCTGTATCAGTCACACCAGTTCCTGTTCGTAGATCTATTCCAGTCCCACTGCAAATCTAACAAAGACAGATACACATACCCTTAATAAAAATATAGAGAGATCATCTGCAGAGCTAGATAACTGTTTCAATACGAGATACTTTCAAAATATTGTCCAAAATTGTTTACAAAAAAATTAAGAAGATTAGTCAGAATAGAATACAGAATAACAGAGTTGGAAGGGACCTTGGAGATCATCAGGTCCAACTCCCTGCTCAGGCAGGAAACCCTATACCATTTCAGACAAATGGTTGTCCAATCTCTTTTTAAAAACTTCCAGTGTTGGAACATTCACAACTTCTGGAGCCAAGTTGTTCCACTGGTTAATTGTTCTGTCAGGAAATTTCTCCTTAGTTCTAGGTTGCATCTCTCTTTGGTTAGTTTCCATCCATTGATTCTTGTCCTGCCCTCAGGTGCTTTGGAGAATAGCTTGACTCCCTCTTCTTTGTGGCAGCCCCTGTGATATTGGAACACTGCTATCATGTCCCCCCTCATCCTTCTCTTCATTAAACTAGACATACCCAATTCCAGCAACTATTCTTTATTTTTTAGCTTCAGTCCCCTAATCATCCTTAATCAAGATGTCCCTTTAATCAGTTTCCTTAATCAAGAAGATTAAGGCATTAGTAAAAGCAAAAGAAACAGAGTTCTAATCAGGTTTATATCAGATGTATATAAGATAGTAAAAGAGAAAAAAATCCAGCAAATTAGAGATAAAAAAAGCAGAAATACAGGTGACAGAGAGATGTATAAGAACATACAGAAAGAAGCCAAGCAAGTTATTAGTGTTGCTAAAGGATAGTAATAGGGGGAATCTATTAGAAAGTGGATAAAGCCTTTTGTAGATACATAAGTGACAGAAGGAGAAAAAACTGTGCAATCACCAAAATTAAAAATGCAAACAATTCTTATGTTAAGCAAGACCTGGCTCTCTTCATTGCTCTTATGTCTCTACCCATTTTTTAAAAATTAGGCTAGTTCCCATTTTCCTTGGTAAGTTTATCTCAAAAAACCTGCAACTTTGTTTTCTCGCATATGTGTTGAAAAAACAAGCACTTAAGTATATATCATTATGGCCTTCAAGTTATTTCTCAATCTAGAGATACTTACTGAATCACCATCCTCTTTTTTTGAATCCCGTTTCATAGGTTCATTCATATCTTCCTGACTGCGGAAGCTAAAGTTCTGAATTGCTTCAGTCACTCCACGGAGAGAACTATATATATCTTCTGAATTCATATTTTCAGAATCATAATCAAATGCACTGTTAAACAACAGCAATAAAAATATTGTGAAGCAGTTTTAATTTCAGCAAGTGATGGTTCTTTAATGGATATTTCTATGTGTTAATTTGTACAATTTAATAAGAATTTAGATGACTGCTTATATTAGAATAGAATTAATTAGGCTAGAAAGAACTTATACATACATATGCCCTCTTTAAGCTGTGACAAAGCATTGCTAGATTGGAAATTTAGAGGAATAGCTATTGTAACAGAGTTTAGGATGGGGTTAATATCAAGTATGGAAGAAAACATTCTGTTGTTCAAGGCAGGGATTTACAAGGGTAACCAGGCAAATAATGAGGCAAATTAATATTTTTCTTTTAACAAGATATTTGAAAGTATTTCTATGAAAGAAAGGAACAAAGAAATGTATAAACTATATAAATTTGAACATACAATTTCAAAAGAATGAATTATGAAATAAGCAGAATAGGAATGTTGTGCAATTGATGTTTTAAATATTCTTTCACTATATTTTTCTTAAACTTGAATTAAATTATTTTGCAATTAATTCAGATTTGTATTTAAATTGGTTGAAAACTTAATGTTATTTAAATAAATTACAAAGTTGAATTAGATGTAAAACTCTGTGAAATGACTGATTCTGCAGGAAAAACAATTTCTGCCATTCTGCCCTCTTCCCTTCAAGAAAAATCCTATTGGAAACAAATTTATCTTTATTAGTGTTGGGTGAGAGTCAGTGCTGGTTCTAAATTAATATCTGGTATCTTACCTTGGTGATAATGTGTTCTGGGATGTATTGGTTGGTGAAGTGATGGGGCTAGACCAACTAGCTGGTGAGCGTGGAACAGGCCTTGTTAATGGGCTTCCCATGGGCCCCTGTAAAACACACACACTTCTCATGAGTCTTTTGAACATTGTAATAATAATAATAATAATAATAATAATAATAATAGTAGTAGTAGTAGTAGTAGTAGTAGTAGTAGTAGTAGTAGCAGTAGCAGTAGTAGTAGTAGTTGGAAGGACCTTGGAGGTAATCTAGTCCAGGTCTTTTCAACCTTTTCACTGACTGTACCACTTTTAGGACATGACAATGTTTGAGTACCATCAGTGCTTAGCAAGGTGTCAAAAACTTGATGACTAAAAAAGGGGGGATTTTGGGTTTTACTGATTAGATTCATTTGTTGTTATAGAAATGGCTAGTTTATAATATTATGGAAAAGTAAAAAGTTGAGGTTCAACGTTAATGCTTCCTTCTACTGCAACAGAGGAAGTCAGAAGTCAATGCCTTTTCTTTTTCCCTTCCCCCCTCACATTTTCCCCCTTTTTCCTCCCCACTGTGTCCTACTATTTGCTTTTGTATTTTTGTATTTTATTCTATAATAAAATAAAATATTACAAACTATAGAAAAAAAGTACCAGTTTTAATTTCTTCGGTTCCTTTGCTGAATCACTTTCCCTTTGCACTGACAAATGTATGATGAATTTAATCATGTTTACTAATATGCACCACTACCAGCTAGTTCAGGAGTCTTCAAACTTGGCACTTTTAAGATTTGTGGACTTCAACTCCCAGAATTCCTCAGCCCTCATGGCTGGTTGAGGAATTCTGGGAGCTGAGATCCACAGATCTTAAAGTTGCTAAGTTTGTAGACTCCTGAGCTAGCTGGTTTGCTCTTCTGAGCTCTTCCACAGTGTAGTAAGAATGCACCCCCCCAATCCCTTCCCTGTACCCTTAAAGACCCAGGAATCAAGCACAAAGCAAGAAAATAAACACAAATTCCATTTTTTCTCTCTCTTTAAGCTGCCTCAGGTGTGTCCCGTGTCACAATGGTGCAATTCTAGACTGAAAGACTCCGGCAACTGCAAAAAGCTTTAGCTTTAATTAGTTAAGCTAAATTAAGCCTATTTACCTTCAAAGAAAACTTTCTAAAAGCCACAGACAGACTCAATTAAAGAGGGTAAAACTAATTACATTTGTTTAAAGGGATTAAACCTTTCCTGTTATCTTTTTTCCCCTTTCCCCACCCAAGCCATGTTATTTTATAGCCTCTCCTCCCCCCCCCTTTTCTTCAGTTAATCTTCCACTACGAGATGCTTCTGGAAGCCCAATCAGCTGGAGTCCTGCCGGCTCCTGCCAATACCAGACAGTCCTCAGCTGCAGCTGCCTCTCCCTCAAGCTTGGCTTGCTTTGGCTCATTCCCCTCCCCTGCTACACTTGGCTAGCAATCGCGTACCATCTGCCATGTGGCAAAGTACCACAAGTGGTACATGTACCACCGATTGAAAAGCCCTGATCTAGTCCAACCCCCTGTTCAGGCAGGAAACCCTGCCATCTCCGGGGCATGGTGCGCGTGCCCACAGAGAGAGCTCCAAGTGCTGCCTCTGGCAGGCGTGCCATAGGTTCGCCACCACTGCCCTATACCATTTCAGACAAATGGTTGTCCAATCTCTTCCAGTGTTGGAGCATTCACAACTTCTGGAGGCAGGTTGTTCCACTGATTAATTGTTCTGTCAGAAAATTTCTCCATAGTTCTAGGTTGTTTCTCTCTTTGATTAGTTTTCATTGGTTGCTCCTTGTCCTGCCTTCAGGTGCTTTGGAGAATAGCTTGATTCCCTCTTCTTTGTCTGAGATACTGGAACACTGCTATCATGTCACCCCTTCTCCTTCTCTTCATTAAACTAGACATACCCAATTTCAGCAACTCTTCTTTATATGTTTTAGCCTCCGGTCCCCTAATCATCTTTGTTAGTCTTCTCTGTACTCTTTCTAGAATCTCAACAATTTTCTACATTGTGGTGACCAAAACTGGATACAGTATTCCAAGTGTGGCCTAACCAAAGCACTGTAAAGTAGTATTAACACATCACGTGATCTTGATTCTATCCCTCTGTTAATGAAACCTAGCACTGTGTTGGCTTTTTTGGAAGCTGCAGCACACTGCTGCTGGCTCATATTTAAGTGATTGTCCACTAGGACTCTGAGATCCCTCTCATAGTTACTACTATTGAGTAAGGTACCACCTATATTATACCCATGTATTTGGTTTTTCTTGCCTAAATGTAGTGCCTTACTTTTTTCATCACCAAATTTCATTTATCCTTATAATGATATAAAATCTTTAAAGAAGGCTTCATGCATTTTTCTAGAATAAAGATACTAAGTTGAATAAAGACTCAATGCTACAATTTGAAAACTAACATATAAAAATAACAATAAAAGAGGGCTAACAAATGCATATATGTCTGTTAATTCATCATGTTTAATGCAAATTATCTCTACCTATTATAAATGATTATAAATATACCTGTCCCCCATTGCCTGTATTCCGGAGGTGACTGTGAAGTAACTTTGTGGCACCATCTTGAAATGTTTTTGGTAAAGCACCCAACAGCATTGTAAATTCAGGGGTATTGAGTTCAAAAAGAGAAATCAGCACTGATTGCGCAGCCTAGGAAAATGATAAAATAATTAAGCCAGGCCTGAAGGACAATTGTTGATAATTTCTTAATTATGGAATTGTAAAATATATTCACATTCAATGAAGCTCTTTTTTCTTCTTGGACTTCCAACAAAACATATCTCCTTTATTATGAAATTCTAAATTATTATGAAATTCTAAAATATAATTACATACAAGTAAACTAATTCTTTCTTCTTCCTCTTGAGTTCTTTATAGCTCAATAAAAGAATGACTAAACTCAGGGAGGGGGTGATCCCAATAAATTTTTCTATAAAATGTTACATAAATTCAATCCTTGAATTTGAAATTGCAATAATTTTGAAATCAGCACTTACTGTACTTTTATTTTCAGGATACCTACAGCATTTGGTCAAAATAAATAGGCTGGGTTTCACTGCATACTGGGTGGTACTAAAAAAAGACGTGTGTATTTGTTCTTCAGCTTTTTAGGAAATCAGATACCAGAAACCTCTGCAACTTGTGTGAATAAAGCCTTCTTCTTATGACATTAGATGGTGTACAGAGCATATAATATGTGTTTTGCTAGCCTGTATTAGCAAAGTGTAGTCCATGTATGATATGCTATACTAGACCATGATGTGAGTATAATATGTATTAGGTTTGTTAGATTCTAATCTCAACCTTTTTCTGACTTAACAGAGCCTGGTTGCCATTTAATGGGTTTTGGGAAGTAGACACATACAGGGCAGATGTGCACTAGTCTGAATGTATTCCAGCTACAACCCTTTACTGGAGGTGTGCAGCTGGAATGCAGTAAATTTTCCAGTCAGTGTTCACTCCAGATAACTGCCTGGATTAATTATTGAGGCTTTCTTGAGCAAGATTTTGGAAGTGGTTGGCATTTCCTTCTTCCCATAGCTGAGAGGGAGTGAATGGCCCAAAATTACCTAGCTGGTGGTCTACCTAAGGCAGGACTACAACTCAGACCTTCCAATTTCTAGCCTGAGGAATGGAAAAGATATATTCACCATGTGGATCTACATCAGAGTAAGTCAAATTCTGTTATAACAATGGGAGGTCTCTTGAACAAATTAGATACAATAGTACCAAGTAGTCATCCTGCATCCAACAGCCCTTGTAATAACGCCAGTCACAGAAGGTCTATGTATTTAGTTAGTTCCTAGGATATGGCCAGATGAGTCAATGAAAAAGGTTAAAAGTGACAAAAGAATGCCTCAACAAGTAAAGTCAATATTTTTCTGCATTACACTTCTACTTTAACTAGTAACCAAATTCTCCACTGAATAGCTGTGCTTACAGCACAGGTAGAGGTATATATTTCAAGAAGGGAGGCAACTTACATGCACTGCCTCTGAAACTTATTCAGTGATTGAATTTCCAATCTGGCCAGATATATATATGCTACCAGATTCTGATACTCAATGTACAGCTGAAGAATGCATTATTCTATATATTCTATATTTTTTTGAAAGCCACTATAATACAAAGAGTAATGTCTAGAACAGTGGTTCTCAACCTGTGGGTCGGGACCCCATTTGGGGTCGAACGACCATTTCACGGGGGTCGCCAAACAAGACTGTCCACCATTTTTCCCCCTTTTCTTTGGCCACGCCCCTGGCACCCGGTGATGTATAAGTGGTTGGGGGTCACCACAACATGGGGAACTGTATTATGGGGTCGTGGCATTAGAAAGGTTGAGAACCACTGGTCTAGAAGTATAGGCAAGATTTTATAACTCTTACTTCTAAATAGCACCTTCATGTATTATATTTCATGCAATGACAATATATATATATACCCATATTGACTGGATTTTTTCCCCAAATATTCTAAATAAGCAGGTAGCTGGCAAGTGTATTGGCAAATATATTTCCAAATCAGTTTAAATAGAAATTTTCATGATTTAAATTCATCTGTTTATGTGACATTAGGTCAAAATTCTGCTTGGTTATTATCCTTTACAAAAATTAGAAAAGAAAACAACAAACACATGGAGAATTTTTTTCAAAATTATTATGGATAATCAATATCATGTTATTGAAATTAAAAATATTAATGTATAATTCAATACAATAAGAGATAAATAAAAATTCTTAAGAAGTAACTTTGTTCATGTCAACATCATTTGAAATACCTTCCTAACATCTGAACTTTTGGGTTCTGTTGTCCAAGTAATAATTCGAGACACAGCCAGACGAGTTTCACTTGAATTTACAAAATCTCCTGGATCCATCTGTTGTGCAAGGGTCTCTATGTATTTAAGGATTGCAACTTTTACCTATAAAAATAAAAAATATACAGAAAAGTATAATATCTAATGACAAACATATGAGAATTGGAATTATTTTACTTATTTTACTTCACTAGCAATGCTAGTTGATGATAATAGTAGCAATTCAGAAGTTATTTTTTTTAGAGCAGCAAATCAGTGAATTAGCTGAAAGGATCTTGAGCAAGAATCCATATGTAGCACCAGTAATACCTGTATAATTCAAAAGCATATTTTGGATTTCAAATGCAAAATAATAATTAAAATAACTTTAAAGGTTATGCAGGAGAAAGGCAAAAAACTACAGACAATATTTCTATATACTTCCAGATTTTTTCTAAATGGAAGTTCTTTGGTGCTAATTAATAAGCTACTTTTAAATCTGAATTTCCAATATAATTTAAAGTGTGTAATTGAGAACAGCCTTAGGGTCCTACAGGATATGAAAAACATGGTAGTGCCAAAAATAGATATTCTAACACCATAAATATATACAAGCCTATAATGATTTTAAATAAGAATGGTGGGTTTTTAGATAATTTTAGCAACAGTTTTCACATAGCTGAAAATTGGACTATATCTGGAATAGATACAGAATGGAATTCTTCAATTTATTTATTTATTTATGAGACTTATATACCGCTTTAAGTGCAAGCACTCTCTAAGCGGTGTACACCAGTAAGCAATGTGTGTGTGTATGTGTATGTGTATATATATATATATATATATATATATATATATATATATATATATATATATATATATATATATATATATATATATATTTACATTGCCCCCAACAATCTGGGTCCTCATTTTACCTACCCTGGAAGGATGGAAGGCTGAGTCAACCTTGAGCTGGTGAGATTTAAACCGCTGACCTGCTGAACACAGTCAGCTAAAGTGGCCTGCAATAAGCTTCTAATCAAATTAAATTAAGTATTTATAAAAATAAGAGACAATTTCTCTTCTGAGTCTGCTTAGTGGACAGAAAAGATTTAATTCCGGTATATACATTCCTTTAAATATTCTGCTAGAATTTTCCAATAATTCCTTTTCCTTTGCATACATATTATGTATGTTTACTTTCTGAGAGACATAGATGGGGAGCCCGTTTACAACAATACCAGGACTCAAAATATAATTATCTTTTCCATATCAAACTTATAAATTATTCATATCAATTTCTTATATGACTGTTCTAACAATTTAGTATACTTGCATCAAAAAATATATCTTTAAATATAATCTTACTGATAAGACATCACTAGTTCAGTGGAATTCAAACAAGGCAAAATTATTTCTGATAATAACTTTTTGGTAGCTGAGAGCCATCCACTACAGAGAAGTTGCATCTGCCTGCAGCTAGGTAGAATTTATTTAGCGAATGGCATATCATACATGGACAATATATATTAACATTTCATCTAGATTAGTAAAACATAATAAAATGTAAAAAGTATTTTTGAGTGCCCTAAATATACCTGAACTCAGAGTAATGAGTAAAACAATCTGAGAAGATTGTTGCCCTTAGGCCTTGTATACAAGTTATCTAGCTTCAAGCTGGCTGTAGTTAGAAATAGAATATTGGATTAGATGATCAATTCAATTCAGCATGCTATTTTTTAAAGAATAGATATTCCCAGGGCATTTTTTCTCATAAAACGCCCAGAATGGAGTTCGGCACCTTTTTTGGATGGAACTTTGTAGGGTAGGCAAGGCAGGTTGTATGATGTGTGTAAGTTCCAGCACTTTTTTTTTTTTTTAGAAAAAAAGCACTGCATATTCCATAATAAATATGTATGTATAATACATCTATGAACAATAATATTGCTAAATGTTATAATGAACACAGAATATTGAGAGTTTATTTTAAAAAATATGCATCTTTGGCACAAATAATCTAATTCCAAAAGCAATGTAGTAGTCCTTACATAAGATAGATGTCCCCAAAACCCACTTAAAACCCTCTTTTGAAGTTATTCCTGCTGCAGCACCCACATCGTGATTCACACTTAGGACTCACAGCAAGAACCCTGCAGCCCCCGCCACCGGCCTATCTCCCTCATTCTGCCTTACTGTGTCCCTGCAGGTCTAGGGCCACCTTTATACTCCCATGGTGCATTATCCTTTGGAGATCTCTAAAGTTTTGGTCCTCATATCCCTCGCAAGCTACCCCATCCTTTAGCATCCCTGGGGTATGTGGCTAGAAGCAGCTGAAACGAACTGTGGTTATACCAAAATGGCAGATGTTTCTGGGATACAGCTGCAGTCTGCTCTGCTCCTCTAACGCAGTCTGTGTAGCACTGCAGAAATCTCTGGAGTTTTGAGCAAAACTGCACAGAGCTTGTTAAGATCACTTTATCCCAGGGCCATGTGGCTGCATCCAAAAAGCAGCTGCCATTTTGGAGTAGCCACAATTTCACAAGTCTGGGGCTCTGGAGTTCTTCATAAGATAAGCGCACGATGGATAATGAGAGGCAGGGAGGAGATAGGTCCAGTGGGGTGGGAAGCAGGCCTAGGTTTTGCAGAAAGTCCTGTGGCAGGGAAAGGAAGCCTAGGAGGGGAAAGCAGGTCAAAGAGCTATGGGGACCTTGAGGGGCGGGAAACAGAGCATGGGGATATCTTGGGGCGGGGGAAGAGGTGGCTTTGGGAGGCAGGCAGGCCTTAGTGTGTGCTAGGCATTCTGGGTCTCCCCTAAGGCAATTTAATTTAAGTAACACATATGCAACCTTAATGAGCAGGTTCCATTAGTGTTGTGTATGTAGATTCTTCAGTTAAGCAATCACCATGTCCTATATGACCAGTTTCAATTTGAGTCTCTTCAAATAAAGGTAGTTATGTGAAACAGTGCATAAAAGCATGACATAATGTAATAATCCTATCTCTCTGTTGTGAGATCTTAAGGAAAGATAGATTTGTACAAATTAGAGGCTACCTGATACCTAATGTCTGAGAACACTACACAACAAAAGGAAAATGCCTTCTTATAGCTGCCAAAAGCAATAAAAAGTGCCATAGGAAAAACTATGCCGTTAAGCAATGCTAGCTTAAAAAAAAAATTAACACATCTGCCAAGAATAGCATCAGTATTATCTATCACATAAACACAGAGCACTTTTATAATTTATTAATGAAAGATTCCTGAAGAGAATTTTGGTCTACATGTAGTTTCTTATATTGAATAGATTCTTAATACTTGCTGTTAATACTATTTTTGTTGCCATCTATAGTATTTTTGTTGCTCTCTCTCCATTTTGTAGTCCATGGAGTCCATGTTCTAATATGAGCATTGTGAAAAATTAGATGGCACTTTACTACTATTTGCTTACTTTCTGAATATAATATAAATTTTGTTTATTCATAATACATAAATTCATAAATAAATACATATATTTGTTTTGCTTTTACTTTGTAAAAATTAAGTAGTCATTTTTCATATTCATATTTCATTTCATATTGCTTAATTTTATAGCAATATACCAGAGTTTCTTATATTTGGAAGTTTGTGTGCAAATGTAGGAAGCATACCATAGTAATAATGGGAGACTTCAACTATCCAGATATCAACGAGACAAACTCTGCAGCGAGCGAGCATGAGATCAAACAGATTCCTAACCAACCTAGCCGACAACTTTGTCATCCAAAAGGTGGAGAAGGAAAGTAGACGTAAAGCCATACTGGACTTAATTCTAACTAATATAGAAGAAGTGATAGAAGGAGTTGAAGTTGCTAGAATTTAATATAATGCAAACACTAGCAACAGAAAACAATCCAACCAGTGTTTTGAACTTCAAAAGAGCTGACTTTAACAAATTCAGAGAGAACCTAGGAAAGATCTCATGGATGAAAATCCTAAAGGGGAAAACAACCCAAGAAGTGTGGGAAACTAAAAAATGCGATCATAAAAGCCCAGACCAGCACAATACCACTGAAAAAGAAAAACAAGAAATTCAAGAAGAAACCAGCATGTCTGCCCAAAGATCTCTCTGACAAACTGAAAGTCAAAAAGGACAAATACAAAAAATGGAAAGAGGGGCACATAACCAAGGCTGACTATCAGTAGAAAGCCAGAGCATACAAAGATGAAAATCAGGAAAGCAAAAAATCAGAATGAACAAAGACTTGCAACAGAAATCATGGATAATAAAAAAAGGTTTTTCCAACATATTAACAAGAAAAAAAATCAAGGAAACTGTAGGTCCACTAAAGAGAGAAGTGGCAAAGAATTAGCAGGCAACAGGGAGAAAGCAGAGCTGCTTAATTCATACTTTGCATCAGTCTTCACACAAAAAGAAACTATAGCCCAACATACAAAAAAACCCATTGCAAAAGACAAATTAGAAACAAATTCTGTTCTATTCTATTCTATTCTATTCTATTCCTAATTCTAATTCTAAATGCAAACATATAATGTCCTCACATCTACAATTAGTAACATAAAATTTGAATGATTCACATATATACAATTTACAGTTAAAGGAATTTTTTTAATCAGGACAAATCCAACCCATGTGGATCCCCCCATGTCGCTCTCCCCGTTTTAAAAACTTTATTCCTTTATGCTTAAATCTACAGAAAAATCTAAAGATTCACTGTAACAAAATAGTTAACATGAATTTCTCTATAGCATTTATAATAAACATTGCATTTTTGCAAATATGATATTTTTGCTTGTAATTGTGATACTGCTGCATCCAGGAGTAAAAAAGTACCATCTTGTAAAAAGCAATTAATAAACTAAAAACGCTGTGCCAGAGAAAAATGGTGGTTATATATATGCTTGTTATTTTCCCAAATGTCTCAGTTGCTGTATATACACAATATATATACCCAACTCTGAAGTTTTTCCAACTGATTATCTGCAGAAGAATAGTTTTTGTTGTTTATATATTTCAACTTTTACATATTTTCAGCTATAGTTCAGTATCTGAATATGTATCATTAATATCATACAATATTCATTATAAAAGCTGAAAGGCAAATGACTCAAATTTTAAAGATGCAAATACGTTTTACAACTGCAGAAAACTCAGCAAAAAATTCTACTGTGATACTATTCAGTCTTTTAAATGTAGATTGGGAAATTACAAACATAAAATTAGAAGAGATTTGACAGAATGAGCTTGCATAACCAGCTTGGTGTTAGATAGCCATACAATTTTTTAAAACTGTGTTGGACTTTGTGGAGTTTTTATAGGATTCATTGTCAAATGTTTCAGACAACCACATAACACTTGGTATCAAATATACACGAGCATGCTCAAAATTCCTTGCAAAGGTTAGTAGCAGTATATGGATGCATAAGAATATTTTAATGTAAATTTTACATACAATAGGTTAAAAAAAGGAATAATGCAGAAAAAAAAAACCTTGGAACTCCAAAAAGAACGAAGCTGGTCCTGCAGTGCTGGCTTGACTGTCTGAAATTTTATAAAAAAAAAAAAAAACCCACTAATTGAAAACCAACAACATTGAATGTATAACATGACAAAATTATTATTGAATGGAATGTTACACATAATTGTAAAGCTTTATAATTTCTTACCTTCAGACTTGGTGTTTGGGTCTGATCAACAGTAAACCGCATTAAAATACTGAATTGAAGATCATTTGGAAACGATTCCCTAAGAAATAACAGAATTAAATTTCACTTCATAAAGTATGTTCGGAAACTAGGCCTAAAAAGGGAAATACACGTACTTTGCCTAGATAAGCAGTATTAGTGAGACATAATATAAAAATTATGGGTTTGTAAATAGTGAAAATTTTAAAACCGGACAAAGCATTTCAGTTCATTCTTTTTAAAGGTATATTGCATATAAACATCACCAGAAGTAGACAATATTGGTGAAAGACACTTTTCTATATTCTACTATGTTGATATATATAGCTGTGATTATTTTATTGTATTATTTATTGTATTGTATTCTAAAGCAGAGGTCCCCAACCTTTTGGGCACCAGGAACCATTCTGTGGAGAGAGATTTTTCCATGGACCGGAGGGTGTGTGGTTTTGTGTGCTGGCTACATCCCGTGGATGGAGTTTTGTTTGTGTGGATTGGTTGCTGGCATGCTGGTACTGGTCCATGGACTGGGGGTTGGGGATCCCTGTTCTAAAGGATGCAAAACTGAAATATAGGTGTAGAAAGTTCAAAATGTATGTATTTTTATTCTAACATCAATCTATTACCTTGTCACATCTAAAGCCTTCTGAACTTTGGCTTGCACAGATCCCAACAAATCAGCACCCATTTTTTTCAGAAGTTGGGTCAGAAGCACAAATAGCCAATCTTGTAGATCTTCTTTATGAACTTGGATAAAATCTACTAATGTTTCCAAAAACATGCTGAACACCTGCAGTAGGGGAAAAAAGGGAGGACAAAAGGAAAAAAAAAGAGTAGGGAAGAAAAGGAGTTGATGCTTGCCTGTGTTGAACTCACAAAATAATGTAGTACCACATAGAAGCAGATAGAGGCAATGATACACAGCCAAGCGGGAAAACATTCTCTCCTGTCTTGTCAGAATCTTTGATTCAGAAATTTATTTGTATTTCTGGAAATTAGTACTTCATGCAATACCACTGAGCAAAGAAATGCTGTGATGACTGGCGCAATTCTCTTCTTCCCTCATCTCTGCTTTGGTGTTGTCTATTCCACTGAATTTGGGGACTTGATCTATGCTTCAAACTGTTACCCCATTATAGCATACTAGATCTTTTCATTACAACTGATCTGAAAAATTCTAAATCTTTCCAGCTTTAGTGATATATTATTTACTTTCATAGATCTTATATTCTCTCATATTGCTCAGTCACAATTTTCATCTTTTTCACACAAACATGCTATTTTTTCTGCTATTCATCACTTTACAGATTATTTCAGATATGATGCTTAATAAAGTCATAAAAGATCTTGCTTTTCGATTTAAAAAATAGTTTTACATCACTCAGTCTTGCATGCAAACATGCTGGATATAGATGAAAAAAGCTAAGATGCCACAACAAATCTTTAGTGAAACAGATTTATGTCTATCTTCAATATAGTACACTTGAAGCAGGGAAAGATGAAATTAATGTCTTACAAAGGATTTCTGTACACCTAACAATTTAACTGCAGTATTGTTTATAAAAATGTCAACAATTATGGAAACATAAAATTGAGCAGAATCGGGAGATGGTGTGAAGAAATTTAAAATTGGAAACTTGATCTTCATAGTTTTTGGAAGTATTTGTATCAAAACAATATAGTTATATAAAATCATAAAGGTGATCCAAAAATGGTGTACGTGAATCAGAAAGCAAGTTGATTAAATAATGTATAGCTGCAACAGGGAAACTTTTATCTTTTTCCATATAGATAGTAAAATACTTAGCTATACTTTGTACTGAAATTAGTAATCAAACTTTCAAATAAGAATAAAACTCTTCTACAAAGCATAAAAAATAATACTTTGATTCCTGCTGCAAACAAAAAAAATAAAAATAACACTGGAAATTTATGAGGTAAAAGAAAATGTGAACATTTTTAATCTATGTTCATACTGTAAAATAATTCACCATCAGAACTTTCTATGCTTTTCTATAGTAGTCTGTTCATATGCTGCTATTTGGCCCTTTATTTATTTAATATAAAAAAACCCTATGTTTAAAATAGCCCTAAATTTGTAGAATATTTAATGAGAATACATAGTGAATATATCTATCTGTTGAAACTCCCCACTAACAAGACATGTTCTTTTGCCCAATTCCTAAAATGTGGGTTTTATCACTAAGACAGTGATTTTCGGTTTCTAGTTCCACATTTATCTTGGGTCTATATTTGCTCTTTACAGCAGCAAATTACAGACTCTGCTGTTGGGTAGTGCAGGCTAAATAAGAGGCAGTATAGGCACAATTTTGTTAAGACTCCAGCTGTAGGGATACAGATCAGGAGTTGTCAATCTAGAGTTGGAGCTTTGTCACAACCCATTCCAAGCTTTACTGTAGGATTAGTTTTAAGTTCCAATTAAATATATCCAGATAAAGTAATACAGAAAACTATAATTTAATAGATTATGGAGGAAGGGTATACCAAAAAAGCTAGGCTTTCCAATTTTTTATTACAGTAAACCTCAATTGAATAAAATTGGTTTACACAATTTCAATGTAATCACTGAAGCTGAAGGTCTCTTACAGTAAATTTTTTAACTCACCCATCTTTTTACAGAAAGTAAATAGAAGACATAAGACAGGAAAACACACATTTAGGCCTTTCAAACCAAAATGAGTGCAGGAGTGTGGAAGCAGAATAGAATATGTATTATTTGGCTATTTGGTTTACTAACTTAACTTTTTTTATTGCAGGTTAGATTGTGTAAATTTGAACTTGCCAAATGAATGTTTATTAAATTGAGGCATACTGTAGTAGAGAATTTGAAAGCCTAGTTTTTAGAAATATTTTCCACTAACAACCTAAGGGGCAACCTAAGGGGGACCAAGGGATATATGTTGTTTCTATAGCTGGAATGACAAAGTGGGCATGGTTTAATCATACATGTGAGCAGAGTTTGCTCCAGGGACACCAAGACGGGGATTGTTCTTTGGCTGCACTGAAGTACGCAAATTTAAGTTTTATAATACTTTTTTATTGGGTTTCTCACCTCAAAATGCTAAGATTCTTTTAAAAAAACTAAAGAATAGTTTTTTAAAATCATGATCAAAAGGGTTTCCAGGGGTTACAATAAGGGGACTTGGAAACTGCAGTTATCCATCAGTGTACTCAAAAAATAATAGCAATATTGAGTAAAAAGAATGATGCAACAAAATTGGATTCAGACCAAGTTCATTCTTAATATTGGTGTAATTCAATTGAATTATGGTCATAATTGTTGTTAATTTCAATGGGACCTAAATTCAACTATGTCATTTTATCTCCAACTCATTGTTTACATGACACATTTAACGGCATTGATAGGCAATCATTTCATATAAAACATCAACAGACACTACTGCATGTTATCTTGTTTTTAAACTGAAGAATACTGAAAACAATCGAAGGAGCTGAACTTGCCCTTAGCAATAAAGTCTTGATATTTAACAAGTCAACTTACCATATTTCATGTTCAAAATTGCAACACTTGTCACTGTCTAACAATGCTGTTCCTCCTTCATATTTATTGACCGTAGATCAGTTAAATATAAACATAATTTATACACTGCTCAGTATTGCATATTTTCATGGCATTTTGCAGAAAAAATATAGATATTCAAGATAAGGGATAGCTAAAAGGATTTGTATTTGTGTGTGTAAAAATCCACACACACAGCGTATACACACATAAAATATATGTCTATGTGTACGCATGTATGTATATGTGTATTCCTATAAACAAATCTAGATATAAATCTTCAACTGGATTGTGGAGAAAAATTCTTTTAAATCTTTTTAATATGGATATTTCCTTAGATGACATGAAATTAAGATGCGCCAGTCACCACAATACACAATAGCAGTAGAAAACAAAAGGAAAGTTAATTTGTATACAAAAAGCATTTCATAATAATTTTTATAGCTGCAGGAATTTATAAAGTGCAAAAGCTACATTCTACAAACATTCTTATAGGTATAGAGGGGAGAAAGATTAGTATCCGTCATGCAACAAAGTCAGGGTTCCAACGAATATTGAACCAACTTACTCTCTATAGAGAGTTCCAACACAGGGGACAGCATGCAAAAAGAAAAAAAAGGGGGAAGGAAGGGAGGGGGGAGATAAAACACACAAATTAGTTGCCATCTGCATAGTTCCTGCATGAGAAAATTATGATACAAGGATTTATATGTTTTAAAATATTAATACCTTTGGAATCAAATTCCCAAGTAGCATATAACTACCAATCTACCTTCTGTCTCCTTCCCCAATTTTCTCTTTCAAGAAAAGTGGAAGAAAAGTGCTTTTTTATGAGCAATTTTAAAACATGGCGTGCATCAATTCAAGCATCGAACTTTAGTAAGTTAAAGAACTATAATCTATGCATATCTATTAAAATTATAACATCTTAATTAGATATGCATATTTTGGGGTATACTATAGATACAAACATAATACAACTGAAATCTATTATTTTCTATTATAGCAGCTTTTTTGCAATATTTACAGGATTGAACAATCTGACATAGTGCTTCAAGTAACAGAATTTTAGCTACTTTTCTATGAAAGCTTAAATATTTTACTGAGCCCTTATGGGCTCCTAAAACAAAGTGCCATTAGACAATTCAGCTCCTCAACATCCTCAAACACAGCCAAAGGACTTATCAAAACATTCTAGAATGATTTCTATAAACTGATCAAATTAAACTAAAGGTACACATCTAATAAAAACTACAGAAAAGTTTGCTGAAGTTAAAATGCATTCATAAATGGAATAATCCCAAAATTTAGAATTTACACTAAAAGGTGCAGAACTTTTTCAGTGAATTTTATCAGATACTTCAAACAAATATTAAGAACCCACAACTTTGTTATCAATAGTTGATCAAATATTTATTATAAAGGAAAGGTGGGAACAAATTGAAAATGTCAGTATCTGAAGCAGGGTGGAGTTGGAGTGTTTCTCGCAGAAACCATAGTGTTGACTCAATTTTTATCCTACATTTTTTCTACACTACACACAACAAAATTAGAATAGTCGATAACTTGAACTTTACTTTACTTCACTAATTCTTCATCTTTCTTCACTTGTGCAGCAAATAATATCCAAAATATTAAAAAAATAAAATCTTGCAAGTAAGATTTACAAGTGCTTGAATGTAAAGTCTTATTCCTTGGTATAATATATCCGCTACTCTCTGCATGAGTAAGAAAAGAAATAGTTTCCATAGGTTTAAATATCAATTTATTGACCATTTCTCTAAAATTGGTACATCAAACTTAATTGTATTATGGTTTCCATATATTGAGTTTCTTATTCCATTGGCACAGAGCTATTTGCAAGAAATAACTTAAAGTGAAAAATTAGGAAGCTATATTAAGCAAATACTGGAAATCATTATATTATTCGGATATAATGGATTATTTAACCTAGGAAATTATTTCTATGACTGTAATATCAAACAGTGTAAAAGAAGATCACAAGCAAGTCTATCCCAGGTATTAGTTCTTACAAAGTTAATGTTCTTACAAATACAATACTAGCAAGACAAAATATCAAAATACAACATTGATGCTTACTGTGAGGGATAATTGGGTATAGGGTAATCAAGCTAGTTAACTGCCTTTTGTTCAGAATGTAATAAGCAAAAAGTTTTAATTATAATCACATCAGAAATGTCGGTACTGTGGATAAATTTGATGTAGAAACATGGATCATAATAATGAAATATAAATACAGAACAGGTACAGAGTCATTTGGAAGTTTGTTTGGTGTAATGCTGAATTTAAACTTCTGAATGTGCTTACAAACAAAATGATAAAAATAAGATGCTATGGCATTCTTTTTACCAATAATACTTCATCACAAATGTAGTGAATAACCTAATTAGTGCAAGAAGTACACCAATTAATATATCTAGTAAGTTTATTGATGCAAATGCTATTTTATACAGAGTTATTGAATGAAGAGGTGAGTAAATATGAAGTTTTGTAAGCTAGTCTAAATCAAGTTTTATAATATCAGAAGGGCAACAATTGTCCTGAAAACTTTATAACAACAAACACAGATTTAACACTGGAAGCAAGGTCATTTATTACTTCTGGCAGATAGCTGGGTCCGGCTTTCATTTGGTTACCATATTAGGTTGGGTTGGGTACAGATAGCCTCAGCTTATGATCACAATTGAGGCAAAAACTTCTGTTGCTAAGCAAGGCAGCCATGTTATGACCTTTTCTGCCACAGCTGTTAAATAAATCACTGCTATTGTTAAATGAATAATGCAGTTAAGTGAATCTGATTTCCCCCATTGACTTTGCTTATTGGAAGCTGAATGGGAAGGTTTTAATGATGACAAATTGTAACCATCATAATGCATACCAACTGCCAAGTACCTGAATTTTGATCATGTGACCATGGAGATGCTGCAATGATTTTAAGTGGTCATAAGTCACTATTTGCAATTATATTATAACATTGAACAGTCACTAAATGAATGATTGTAAGTCAAGGGCTACCTGTACTTGTTCCCTTTCAGAGGAATTATATTTCATCACAACGATGTGATTGTATCGTATACTCTAGTGTCTTAATTATATTTATGTAATTCTTTTGCCATGAGTACTGGGTAATGATAATTTCATTGTCTGCATTAATATAAAAACACAACTCTGACTTCTCCCAGATATTCTGAAAAAAGAATGTTAGGATCTTCAAATTTACAGTGAATTTATTGAAATCTGGACAGGACCAAGGTATACTGAGTCACTGAAATTCATAGGGGGACAAAGCTAAGTGATTCTGCTATTTGAAATATTTTGGAATCTAAGATGATTGAAGCTTCTTGCTCTCTTATAAGTACCTGGCAAAGAAATTGTGTTCTAATGAAAGACCCAGCCATGGAATAAAAATAGATTAATAAAAAAGTTTTTTGTTCCATGAATGAAAGCAAATGAAGTTTTTTGTTTGTTTGTTTGTTTAATATGCAGTCCACCTCACTGTTGCATCAACTCTGGATGGCTTACAAATAGTTGGAGAGCAAAGTTTCCTCGGAGGCAGAGCTTTAGCTGAAGAAAAAAGTGGCTGTAAGTCCTTAAATGAAAACAGAGCCGTTAGTAAATATAACTGATTCAATTTCCAAAATCTAGCATTTACCTAGTTATTCTTTAGGATCTAATATTTTCTCCCCAAGACTAGGAAATGTGGATCAGATGATTAATTTTACTCCCTAATCAGTTGGACAATGAAAAAAGATTACAATAAGACTGTATGTTTAATCCTGCTCTTAAGAGCCTCTACTTTAGCTAAATCTGAAAAGTGGGAATATATTGGTAATATGTGGAAACAGGAACATGTAATTTTTAAATGGAAGCATGTGTGCCTCTAGTATTCAGTTGCTGATCAGATCTAACACTGATTCAGGAGATGTGAAAGTGCTAGCTATCCTGGAAAGCCTGTACCTGGAAAAAGAAGCCCATTTTATAAGATCTTTTTCACGTCAACACTGGTAAAAGACAAATTAAGAGTCAGTGTAATATAGCGATTAAAAGTGCTGGATTAGAAACTATTTCTAGTCTTGCTTTAGGCATATGAGCCAATTGGATAATTTTGAGCCAGTAATTTTTTCTGAACTCTAGGAAGAAGGTCCTGGCAAACCACTTCAAAAAATATTGTCAAAGAACTGAATCACACCACACCAAGAGAGAGAGAGAGGGGGAGAGGGAGGGGGACAGAAGGACCAGGAGAAGGAGAGGGAGAGAGACAGAATAGTTCTTTGCTGCCATCTGATGGTGGATGAAAGGAATAATTTCAATTTGTACTTTATATAGTAAACATCTGGAATTAGCTGCTTTTCTATTACATTTTATTAAAAGGCATAAGATTTCATAAGCTGTAGCTCATTTCATTAGATGCATAACATAATGTGCCCAGTTTCAGTTCATTTTATTACATTTGTTAGTTGGAAAGGTGGTTGCTAAAAAATTCCTCCTAAAATTTGGCTACCATAAACTACGATAGCACAAGCCCCTCCTTTTGCAATGTTTATTTGATAAGTACACCAACCAATGGGGTGAGCCTGCTACTGGAGGACAGAAAGCTTGAAAAACCCCAATATTGATATTATGACATGCTGAATCAAATATCAAATAATTGGGCTTGGCGTTATTAATTGTTCTATTGATATCTGCATTCTCCCTAAAAAGACTCACAGAGCGATTCCCTTCTTGGTTTGGTCAGAAGATAGTTTCTTTTGTTTCTTTCTTCAGCAGATACTCCCTTCTCAATATTACAGAGAGGCAAAACAAGACAAAGAAAATATCCATTTTGTATATTAAAAAGAAAGTAAAAGACTCTAAAAACAGGGGGAAGAAAAAAGGAAATGAAGAACTGAATTGAATAGGGAAGGCCTGAAAAAGACAACAAAATAATTCAAGGTGAGAGAAGCTATGTTTTGTATCTGTTTTTAATAAGGAGAAGATAAGAGGAATTTCTGAGAAGATACAGCACAAAAAGTTGAGTTACATAATTTCTTGCTTATGAGCAAACCGGAAATAACCCACCTTACATAAATCATAATGGTTTCACAGAATGCTTTCTGGGGTGTCAAGTCACTTCTAGTTAAAGGAACACATTATCTGCCTCTACCTTATAGATAACTTGAATAATAAGTTAAGTCCTCAGAGTTTAATCAATGTGAATTAAATTACAGCAGCAAGTGCCACACTATGTATAGTTAATCCTCACTTAACAACTTCAAATGGGCCTGGAATTTTGTTTGTTAAACCATATGGTAGTTTTGCAGGAGAAAAATCTCAGTCACATGACTGCAAGATGCTGCGAATGATTCTCAATGCGAGCTGGTTGCCAATTGCCCCAAATGCAATCATGTAACCAAGGGTGGGTGTAGCAGTGGTTGTAATTTTGGAAATGGGTTATAAATAACATTTTTTTGAGTCCATTTTAATTTCAAACAATCATTAAGTGATTGGTCGTTGAGCAAGAACTATCTGAACCTGCTGAGGTCCTTTCTTGCATTTAGGAATCCTGGACCTGTGTAATTGGAGAACAGCAATACTTGAAATCCATAAGCCTATATCTTATCTTTTAGCTTTGTGAGTAAAGCAACTCCAATGATCAAAGCTTTTAGAATTTTAATTTATATAATACTTGGTAAATCATCATAAATAATAAAATGGAAATACATACCTTGCTATGAGGATCAGCAAACATCCTCGTGAAGATTTCACACAATCTTTTTAATTCAACACGACTGCCAAAATGACAAATTATTACTTTAGTAAAACTTCAGATGAAAAAGAAATCCATGTCCTAATTTACTTAAAAATATTTGCAAATTCTCTTTTTAAAAATATAATTTGTTAATGATCTCATAAAATACAAAGAATTTTTCAAAACATATTGCCTTGTATTTCCTATATAGAGAATATTCTAGTTCTAACCTTAAAAAAAGATCCTGCAGAAAGTACAAATTGGACTTTATCATATAGCTATTTGTCCTTAAGGAAAATGACAGCATGGAATGAGTGAACTCAAGATTTAAATTGATTGTTTTGAAAGGAAAAAGCTTTATTTCAGTATTGCAAACATTTATCAGATATATCCTCTTAAGCAATTTTACAGGTAGTCCTTGACTTATGACCATAACTGGGACCACAGTTTCTATTGCTCAGATGGTTGTTGAGTCAACTGATTTTTATGAGCTTTTTTTAAACCATAGTTTCTAAGCAAATTACTGCAGTTTTTAAGTGAATCACTGTCATTAAGCAAATTTGGCTTCTCCATTGACTTTATTTGTTGGAAATTGGCTGGGAAAGTAGCAAACAACAATCACATGACTCTGTAAAGTTCATAAATACATGCTAGTTACCATACAGCCAAATTTTGATCATGTAACCATGCAAATGCTGTGATGGTTCAAATAGTGGCTAAACAAATGATTATAAGTTGTTGAGTATCAGTACTTTCTAAAAATTGCTTTTTTAAAACTCAGTTTTCCCTCTGTCAAGTCTTCATGAGGTGCCCTTAATACAACAGAAATAGTTATTATTTCAACAACTTTCAATGAGTTCCATAAAGAGCCTCGTTGTTCTTTCTATCCATGCTGCCCTGAGCCATCAAGACGCTTCCTGAAGGCAGGAATTCAGAATGGATCCTTACTTTTATCTCAGAAAATGGAGAATACTGGATCATGCATGAATAACAGTTGCAAATGATTGTATTGCTAAAACAAATCAGCTATCCTCGTACAGGCTTTTCCTACTCTGATTGACTCTCATTTAACAAAAGCCTAAGAATAATATTGAGCCGAGGTGGCGCAGCAGTTAGAGTGCAGTACTGCAGGCCACTTTAGCTGACTGTGTTCAGCAGGTCAGCGGTTCAAATCTCACCGGCTCAAGGTTGACTCAGCCTTCCATCCTTCCGGGTTAGGTAAAATGAGGACCCAGATTGTTGGGGGCAATGTAAATATATATATACATTGCTTACTGGTGTACACCGCTTAGAGAATGCTCGCACTTAAAGCGGCATATAAGTCTCATAAATAAATAAATAAATAAATAAATCAGAAAAAGTCTCACTTCTGTAAAAATTTAAGTTACTGATAACACCTGCCTTAGTTCTCCATGTTTGAATAGACAAATATCTGATTGATAGTTGAGTGTTTCCTGTTATGTAAGATTCATTTTAAGCAACTGCTCCTGCTGCCTTGTATTAATTCTGCCTGCATATACAAATATACAGGATGAAGAAACTATCCTACTATTTTGTACTGACTGCCTAGTATAGGTGTGGGAGAGGATGAGACTTATAGATTTTAGTGAGATCTTGCCCTCTTCTCAAATGTAAAAAACTAGAGTTATAAGACTATTATATACAGTGGTGTTTGGGAATCCTTTTGAATTTCAGTATTTTTGTATACATAAGATCTTAAATGTGATCTGGAAACTACTTCCATATTACTATTCAGAAATTAGATTTGGCAATAAATGACTATTTTTAAATGAATGCCACAGTTATTAAGTAAACTATTTGCTTTGTGTCAGTTTTGAAAACCAGAAATAAATGCTAGTTTGGCAAAAACTATGTAAAATGTGTTTACATGACTGTGAGACACTGCAAATGGTCATAAATGCAGGCCAGTTGCCTAATGCAGTCACATGGCCATATTCCAAATACCCCTGTGGAGTCATAACTTTAAACAATCACTAGGCAATTGGTCATAAGTCGAAGATACCTGTATGTTGGCCAAAAGCCACACTTAAAGGAGATAAGTGCTTTTGTCCTCTCTCATTCCCTTGCTTACAGAATACTGCTGCTGATTGATGGCCAGAATAAAGCTCTCAAATATTTTATTTGCAGAAGGTCTAATCATAGACTTCCTTCAGGTGAATATAGTAAGTAATGTCCATTTTTTTAAAAATGAAGCAAATTGGACTAGTTATTCTGCAATACACAAATCTAAGAGAAAGAGGTCAAATTTAAATGAGTACATCTTCTGACTCCTGCTATCAGAGGTGACTGAATTATAACATTCTACAGTTCCATGGACTATATGGATTAGGTCCCATGACACAACTACTGCTGGGGAAAATGTTATGAGCCAAAACTCAAGGCTATGTTAAATATAATAGATTGTACATGGAGTACAATGAACATTTGAAATATAATTATGCATCATTTCAGAAAATGTATGCAATACTTAGATCAATGTCACAGGGGTAATTAAATTTCTTATAGGCCTGGGTAGTAGAGTTACTTCATCCGTTTTCCCAGGATTGAAAATTAACAACTGTATTTTGTGATAGCTTCGTTTTCCTTGTTTAGCGTATTTGTTCTGAAAATCTTCTTAGGTCTTGTCTCTGTGAAAAATGCAATTTTATGGACTACTTGGAGACCTGGGATATCCTTTGGATCTGGGTGTTTGTTACCTAATTGATGTAATTTATGATGCATTTATATAATTTTAGTAATTATGTAATTATGATAATTACGTGGATTACATCAATTGTCTTGATTGCTTCAAAAACAATGGACTGAAATACATTCCTACCCAAACTTTAATACTGAACTTGTCATCAGTGACTTTCTGACAGGATTTTAAAAAAAATAATGTAACAATGCCTTTGAGTACAGATTGCAAGATAATCATTCTACATATAGTGCCAACTGGAGGTTTTTACGATGGAGAGTGAGGGTATTGTCTACCAAAGTACCATCACTTAAGCAATGTCTCATCTGCATATCATTAAACACAAGAGAATTTGTTTTTCTCTTCTTGTCTGTGATTATCTGAATCCTTTCAACATGGCAGTCAAGCTTAGAAAAACGTACTTTATTATTTATTTTTTTCTGAACTTAAATATCACAATGAGGAGTGAAATCTGTGGTGATTTAGATTCCTTAAATATAATCCCCCTGAAAATCACACCTTTATAAAAATTAAGCTTAGAATTAAGTGCAAGTATCTAGGTACTTAACCTGCTTCCCCTCTCCCCTCCCCATTTTTGCTGGGTCCTGCAATTGTCCAGGCATACTCTCTCACAGCCAGGTCCAGGCATATACCTGTCATGCCAGGTCCAGACTCTCATTTTGGATTTCACTCTAATGGATTTGATCAGACAGCTTTGGAAATGACTTGTGGTTATTTGATTTGGATTATTAGATTGGAAAGTCACTCCAGAATGGGACTAGGGCTTGAGGAGTAGAACTGGAATGGGTTGAACTTGCACTAACTCTGGATACCTGTGGCATTATGGAACACTGGATTGCTGAGTGCCTGACAGCAGAAGCTGTGATTGCAGCTGTGTGAGAGGGGTGTGGGTGGTTGTTGGATGGATTGCTTGGCCAGGAAAGTGGGGGGGGGGATTGGCTGGCTCCCTCAACGCGTCCCTTCTTTGCAGAAAGGGTTTGGCTCTTCATGCAGCTTGCCCTCTCACGGGACTCCTGATACTGTAGGCCCAGCTAGCCAGGAAGGCGCATCGGAGTGCCAGCTGCCGGTAAGGTGATCGACCCACTCCTCTCCCATTGCCCACTCTGCCCGGCTTGAGCCTGGCTGGAGCAGCCTTGGTGCTTCCAGAGGTGGCCACTTCAAAGTCACACGGGCAGTCCTCGGCCGCTCCCCTCCCCTCCGCGCCGCCAAATCAATCCCCAATCAGAGAGAGAGAGAGAGAGGGAGGGAAGGAGGAAGAAAGAGAGAGAAAGAGAGAAATACAGAGAGGGAGAGAGAAAGAGGGAGAGGGAAAGAGGGAGAGAGAGAGAGAGAGAGAGAGAAAGAGGGAGAGAGAAATAGAGAGAGGGAAAGAGGGAGAGAGAGAAAGGGACAGAGAGAGAGAGAAAGATAGGGAGAAAGAGGGAGGGAAAGAGGGAGAGAGAAAGAAAGGGAGAGGGGGGGAGAGAGAAAGAGGAGAGAAGGAGAGAGAGAAAGAGAAGGAGAGAGAAAGGGAGAGAGAGGGAGAGAGAGAGAGGGGGAGAAAGAAAGAGGGAGACAGAGAGGGAGCGAGAAAGAGGAAGAGAGAGAGAGATTCAATTAGTAATATGGTTGTTAAGTTGGTTTCCCAACTAACTTTGCTTGTCAGAAGATTGCAAAAGGTGATCACATGATCCTGGGGATGTTGCAACGGTCATAAGTGTGAAAAATGGTCATAAATCACTTTTTTCAGTGCCATTGTAACTTTGAACAGTCACTAAGCAAACTGTTGTAAGTCAAGGACTACCTGTACTTTATTACTTTTTACAATTTTTTGAGGGGTCAAGTTTTTGACACCTCGCTAGATGACTGGTGGTACTCAAATGTTGCCATATTCTAAAAGTGGTACAATCAGTGAAAAGGTTGAAAAGTCCTGATCTAAATAATATTATCACTCCTATAATATTATAGGAGTGAATCCACTGTTTTTCCAACAAGATTGGAAATGCTTTTATTTTTAATGTGATGGTATAATAAATTCTAATCCAGGAACTCTCAGTTTCATTGCTTAATTTTCTTTCCATCTTACTGCTTATCTTCAAACCCAGTTTGTTTTTGTGATTAATCACTATGCTTTAATTATGTTCAATTTGTAACAATGAAAATACATCTTGCATATCAAATATTTACATTACGATTCATAACAGTAGCAAAATCACAGTTATGAAGTAACAACAAAAATAATTTTATGGTTGGGGGTCACCACAACATGAGGAACTGTATTAAAGGGTCGCGGCATTAGGAAGGTTGAGAACCACTGGTCTAGAAGCATGCTTTTCTGTAACAGTGCACGCCCTCTGGAATAACATACTACAGGTTTGAATGGTCCCTACTCTGCTCTTCTTCAAGTGAGTCTTGAAGACCGGCAGTTGTCCAGGCATATTCTCTTCTTCTCCCAGGTTTTGGACTATAGTTGAGTGTAGGATTCCTCTGCGATGGTGCATATGTGTGGTTGATTATAGATAGTACAGTTACATTAACCTTTTCAAATTGTTTTTAGTCTTGATTTTTATTGTTTGCTGTCTGAAGTCATCTAGAATCAGATGGTCTTATAAATGTAATTTAAGATTATAAATATATGTTTTCTACTGAAAGCAACTAATAAGATTGAGACTAAAATCTGCACTATTAAATATAATACTTTTACATCCGAGTACAATGAAAATACATTTCTTACCTTAATGTCCTCTGATTTTTTAATAAATTTTGTAGACCAAGAAGACCTTCTTTTCTCTCTGACCAGTTGGAGCTTGCACAGCGGTTAAGGACTTCAGCAACATCTTCTGTTTGTCGCATATAGGTGGGTATCGTGCCATTCCGTGAGCTATAGGATCTTTCTGAGCAGGCACTAGAAGCATCACTGTTAGCATCATCATCAGAGTACATTCCATAAGATTCATACCTCCTTCGAACTGGCTTTTTCTATTATACAGAGAAAATCATAAGATAAACAATGGCAAAATGAGCTCCTTTATCAGTTCAATTGCTCAATTTTTCAGATCCTACTACTATCTTCAGCCTTAGAAAGTATAATATATTATTTTAAAAATGGAAATATAATATTTATCTGGAAGCGAACAAATACCTGAAATGTACAAATTTTATCCCTTTTGGTTCCTTACTACAAATCCCAGATGACATTTGATTTATTAAGTCACGAAAGTATAATAACTATTTTTGACACTGAATATTAACTAACCCAATAGGCTCTAATCTAGATAATGTTACACTAAAAAGAAGAAATGCTTATTGTTATTTACATGCAAAAAGCAATATTTAAACCAAAGATCTAATTAAAATGATATTCTCCCCAATCATTATTATAATTGCTATAGTTAAGATAAAATGCAGCGGATGTTCTAGTGATTTCACATTATTGCTAAGTTAATATTTCTGAATAATTTCCAGCCAAGGCACCAGCTTATCCGCTGAGGCTGCATTACTTAAAAACAACAACAACAACATACAGACAAATATTTGGAATTTATTTAAATGTGAGGTGTTATGGTAGAGCAAAAAAACAATGACATTTAAACCGACACAGACATATTTAGAATCTTTTGGTAACTTAAAACATTTATGCAGAACATAAAACCTATTTATTCAAAATAGTGTTATGTATATATATCATAAAGTTTGACAATAATAGTTATACCTTTGTCCGAATGTCTCCTAATAGCTGAGAGCATTATAGAAAAAACAAATGTTATGAATATAAATATTGAGTGGCTTGTTAGCAAATATACTAAGCAGGTAGAATCAGAATACATGCACATGATTTACAGCACAAGAATCTAGTTTTGATATGAAAGCAAACCAAAATTGGATTCATTCTACTATTCTATTCTCTATGAAACAGAAAAGTTTATGATTGAGTGCTATTACCTGAATTACTATTAGAGCTATCAAATTATTACTGTAAAATCAAAGAGCGGAGAGGAAAAAAAGTGAAATATGCGAAGTAGGGCTTATAAAAGAAGGTGACATGTGTCATGAGATCTAATTAAAATATTATTTGATAAAATAGTTGGATTTTTCTCAGCCAGTATTTGTATTTATATTTGTATTTTAAAGTAATGATATGTAGCTAATACCCCTCTTTGCAAAAATCCTCTTTGACACAATTATCACAGAATACAACACAATTACAATCCAAGACATTATCTTATAGAACAGGCAGAAGACAAGCTAGCCTGGGGGTTTCAGAGAACATATAATCTTAAGAAAAACATGTTTATATAAAGAAAAAAGAGATATGCTAACGTTTATTAGGAAAGGAGCATCACTTAACTTGGCAGAATCAATAATCAAATTGGACAATAATATAATAAAGCATAAGAAAATAAAAATGCTACTTTGTTATCTCCACAAAAACTTACCAAGGCATCTGCTACTGCTTCTTCAACATCTGAGCCTGTGTTTAAGACACGCATGGCACTAACTGATGAAGATAATCGGCTTGATTGACTAATTCCAAAACCTGAAATAAAAAGTATGAAGTCCTGACTTAGAAAGTATAATATATTATTTTAAAAATGGAAATATAATATTTATCTGGAAGCGAACAAATACCTGAAATGTACAAATTTTATCCCTTTTGGTTCCTTAGTACAAATCCCAGATGACATTTGATTTATTAAGTCACGAAAGTATAATAACTATTTTTGACACTGAATATTAACTAACCCAATAGGCTCTAATCTAGATAATGTTACATGCACATGCAGCAATTGTATGTGCAGCAAAAACACTCCTTCAGTTTTTCCAAAGTACCTTTATTGTTAGAGGTGAAAATGACTACATTTTTAAGAATTATACTGCTATAGTAAAAATTTTAAAGAAAGTTTGATATAATACCATCAATATCCAATTTAACCATAGTTGTAGCATTGGCATGATGACGTCAGCTATGTGTCATCATTTTCTCCTTGTTCTCCCTGTATGTTTACTAAATTGTAGTTCCCAAAATATCCTCATAAAATTGAATTCCGCTATGATGTTGACACTTAAATGCAAATGTAAATGCGTTTGTTATTTTACAGTTATTTTACTGTGGCTTCTATAATATCAAAACAAAATTCTATTGATAGCATAATTATACAGGAACTGAAAGACTGATAACTTATATAAATCTCCTATTAAAATGTGTTCAGTCAGTTTAGAAATTATGAACCATATAAGCTGTATCACTGTGTATGTAAAAGCAACATGCATTAATAAAACTTTAGAAATAAAGGAAAATGAAAGAAAATGCAACATTCATCTTAAATTAGGAGGAGAAAAAGTTTAGGGTATATGGAATGAAAGCATTGTTTCATATACTTCAAATATTCCAAAATTATAAATACAAGCTAATGTAGAAAGCAACAAAAATAGACTATACAGGAAACCAAATATGGTAAAAATTAATCCAGGATGATGGCACAAATGATAGCAAAGAGTACTCATCCTTCACCTGTAGCCCCATAAACATCTGGAGAGTAGAGAGCACCAGTAGATCTGGAGTGATGCCTGGAAGCTATAATAATAGGATCATATGAACCCTCTCTGTTATAATAATAATACAGAACAGAAAAACTGCAGAGAGAGCAATGAAGCAAGTTCTAGGCAAAGTGAGAAATCAGCCTGCCTCTAGAGACTGATTTACATAGTGAATAGTAACCAAGAGTGAAGTTACAATGAGTGTTTGTTGTGGGATAACTAAAACAACTTATAGCTTTTATGATCAGCCACCTGTGTCCAACTACTGCCAAGTTATATTCAGAACTGTGCTATTGAAAGTGTTCAGAAATACTGTTGGTGGCACCATCAGTATAAAACAGTCACAAGGCTAGTGGCTAAAATAAATATGTTTATAGGACTCAGTGATAATCTGAAGGAGACTGTAAGTGATGTAGGGGATGGAAAGAAAATTATTGCTTTAATTGGGCTTACTAAGATATCAGAACTGTAGTAATTTATCAAACTATAAAGAAGACAAAAGATAAGGGTCCTATGGGCGCTGCTATATTGTTTCTTTGACAAGAATATGGCACTCATTGTTACAGGATTCATGAGGAATTTATCTCTCCCACTTATTTGGCTAGACCCCAGCTTTCTTCACAGTCCAAGAATTAGCCACATCTGATCCCTCCAAACTTTCAGACCAGCAAAGTTCAATTAGATTGCAAAATACTACAAGCTTGAAATGGGCATTCTGGGCAGGGGTTGTTCATAGTGACACCTTTGAAGCAGACAGAGTGCAAAAACTGGTTTAGAAGGCTGGGTGGTAGTCCATAATGGTTGCATCTACTGGCAAATTTACACACAAATGAATCAAAGCGATGGACATACATGAGATTTTTTTTAAATTAAAAACAATCTACTTAGCTACTTTATGTATAGATTAAATGGCATGTAGGTGACCAGTACTATCATTTCACTTATTCTTGTGGCTACCAAATGAAAATCAAGGTTATAAAGGTCTTATCCAAGTTCTCCTGGTTGTCTCCTGGTAATATTTCATCTGTGACTCTCCTGGAACATGTCACTTGGAGCTATTTTATAAAAAAACAGAATACAGGTACTTCTTGTAGTAGCTATCTGAAATTATGATAATGTTGAAAAAAGTGACTTATGACCAGTTTTTACACTTATGATTATTGCATCCCATGGTCATGTGGTAAAAATTCAGGGGCTTGGCAACTGGCAGGTATTTACAATGGTTGCAGTATCCTGGGATCACATGATCACCATTTGCAACCTTCCCAAAGGGCTTCCAACAAGTGAAGTCAATGGAGCAAGCCAAATTTACTTAATGACCATGATAAAAAACTTGTCTGAGCTCAATGACCACCTTATTTAGCAATGGAAGCTCCAGTCCCAATTGTGGTTGTAAGTTGAGGACTACCTATAGAAAGCATTTCTAGTCTTGCTTATATTCTATAATAGATTAATAAAGTGCAAAGCAATTTATAATTTTATAGAGAAGATGTAGGAATTGGAAGTAATCAGCTTTAAAACTTTGGCATGATATTGTTAAAATACTTTGGTTGTTAAAATACTATTAATTTTTATTTAGTTTAAGTATTTCTAAATAAAATTCACTATTGCAGAAACTACAGAAGCTAATGATATACAACAGCTGTTCACCTTAGTTATAAATTTACAGATAGTACCATTGAAATTCTTGTTAAATTTGTAAAGTATGTTGAAATAAAAATGCACTGATTCAAATTTTGCAAGATAACACACATAATTAACATGAGACTTAATTCATCATATAAATCAAGTATATCATGCAAATCATAAAAACAATTTAATCATAATTTAATAAAATGAGTATAGCAGAAGCACAATGACTATTTTTCATTGTTTAAAATACAATCTGCTGTAGTCAAAATTAACAAATGCATATAAGAAAATATGTTATACTTTTATGCATGTACATGTATAGTCATATATTCAATTCCTATGATTCTATGTATCTTTTTATTAGAGAGAAACACTAAATGTTAATTTTTCTGACTTAAAAGCAATTGAATCTTGAGATATTAATTAAAATAACTTCATAAGCAGGGCTCTGTGTCAAGCAGTGCCATTGTACTGATGGATTTCACACAAAACTGAGGCTTTAAAATAGTATGGTACAGTAGTGGCCAAAATTGTGGATCCTTTTTGGGAAAAGTGTATTTTTGAGGTTTGATGGCTAATAACACCACTTTTTTTTGGAGTAGTACCATAAAATTTAATTTAATCAAGAATGTAATGCAACAAAGTTTGTTCAATTATCTGTACTGTATTCTATGAAAAGTTATAGCCAAATAACCAGAAAAAGGAAACACAACTTGCTTAGGTTGATATCAGGTAGCTTTCCTTCATCTGAGCATAAGTGTTTAGAGAGCCAATCAGGTGTCATCTTGTTTTGGCAATGAGCCAATCAGATCACAGTAGGATTCAGTTGTTGATATCATGTATTGAAGCCGAGAAGAGGACATTTGTCAGCGTGTTATGTGATCGCTATCAGTTGGTTGGTTTTTTTTGTGTGTTTTTTCATTTAGTGAGCTTATAAAACGTGATAAAATTAAAGTAATGGTGCAAAGAGTTAACTGGTTGCTCAGAAAGCGATGTAAAATAATATTATTAAGTGAACAAGGCTACAGTGATAAAGAAATTAGAAGAAAAATTGGTGGAAACTTAACCAAAGGTGGTATTTCTACCGTATACTTTTCCCAAAAGGTTTCCACAATTTTGGCCATTACTGTATACTAAAACCTGCTGTAAACTTTTTAAAAAAGTTTTAAAAAAAGAAATATTGATAGCTTTAGTTAATAATAACACTTGAATCAAACTTGTTACATTAAAATATAACTACAAGGAAGAATAATTTTGTACTCATCTAATTTCATTAAAAATTAGAAATTCAAATCAATAATTACTATGGTGATGTAATGAGCCAGTTAACAGGTTAGAACGTTATGTTTTAAAAAGAATGAATATTGGAAAGTATGCAATAATTATAAAATGAAATACAGCTTTTGAATACCTATGCAAAATTTGCCCATTATGTAATATGATAAAAAATTCAAATTACTAATCATTACTCTATTCCTTTGAATCTTCACTGCCATCATTATAATGAACTGAATATTGACTTTTACATTAAACAATTATCTAAAATATTAAGCAGATATCAAATCAAAACAAATCTAATAATTACAGAAAAATCAAAACCAATTTTATTCAAAGCAATGAATAAAATTATGCATCATAGAAATAAAAGATACATCTACTACCTCAGTGTGCTGTACAATCCAGAGGTATGACTATCTTTAATTTTCCCATCAAATTTCATTTCCTTGCATTTAACAAGAACTTCCAAACTTGAATCTGAGATTTGACAGGAGACTTTCTGCTAAAATTACTGCATACATGCAGATTTTCATTTTAATAAAAGTTCATCAGAAATATATATATTGAAGAAATTATTGATGTATGCAACAAAACTTTAGAAATACTTTGCATGCACCTTTGGATTGTGCAATTATTCTACAATTCCACGGGAGATTTTTTAAGCTCTTCAGATGGACAAATTCTTCAGCCAAAGTATGCAAATCGCCATGTCCTTTACACAGGGAAATATTTATTTGTTATTTTAACTTCAGCTTATATTAGCAGATAATCAGGGGCAAACAACCATGCAGAACAAGCTCTCCATGTACTTACCAAGGGGTGCAAAAGAGCGGACAGGGCTTGTATCCCTGCTGCTTTCACGACTGGCTTCTCGACTGCACCCCTGACTCACACTAGGCCGAGGAATGCGACTACCTCGAGCTAGTATGATTCAGGGGACAGACCAACAGCAGCACAAAAAGGGAAAGATACAGAAAAAGTTCACATTTTAATACAATCCCAAGTGATTTCACTTCTACAATACAGTACTGAGCATTCTTAAAGCACTCTTTATTATTTATATTAATTATACACACACACACGAACATATATATACACACAAACATATATATATATATATATATATATACACACAAACATATATATATATATATATATATATATATATATATATATATATATATATATATATATATATTCAATAATGATGGTGAAAATGCGACTCCCGGGCATAATTATAAATGGAATGAATAAAGCGCGTTCACCAGGAGAGTTTAAAGTTAAAATACTTTAATTAAAGTATTTTACTATATTAAAAGGTTGCCAAGCTTTCGTTGGGAAAACTCCCCAACACACACACACACACACACACACACACACACACGTGTGTGTGTGTATATATATATATATATATATATATATATATATATATATATATATATATATATATATATACACACACACACACACACGCACGCACGCACGCACACACACACACACACAGAGACACATATATATACATATACTTACACTGAATATAGGAGATAATCCCAGAAAAACTTCTTGACTTGATAAACAAGTTATAATTGAGTGATATATGAATCAACATTAAACATACAACTATCTTCAGGGAAAATAGATGGTATTATTACACCTAGAGTATATACGTGTTCATCAGTTTAAATAAAATAATATACATTAATATTGTCTCATAGTTACTTTCAAAATTATTTCATAAATGTTAAGAATTGTGTGTTTTTTAAGTGATAAAGTAAGGTTTACAAACATGTTCCATCACAGGGCTAATTATATTAAGCTACAGGAACCAAATGTGTTACGTGTATGCTTTAAAATAAACCTGAGTGATATCTTAAAAAATGTACATTTATGTTTTCTTCTCCCAAAGCAATACTAATCTCAGAAACTGAAAAGGCAGAATCAATAGCATTTTAGTCACATGTTCAGGAAAAGTGTGCTCAAGTATATATGAGCCCTTTCATTCTAGGACTGTGCTGCGTTGCAAGGCTATGGTTTGTCTCTGTGTGTGTGTGCTTGTGCCCGTGTGTGTTAGAGATAGCATGATGATTTTACTCGGATGGTGCTGAAATGATTAGCCTAAATTTTAGGAAAAGGATAGAATTTGCATTACTTATTTTAGACTTTATTGTGAGGAATTCTGCTGCTGAAAATTACTATTTTGGTGGCATATTGCTACTTCTGTGAGAAGAGACATAGCTTGTCTTTACTGTATTCAGTTGTTATGTGCGAGACAGTACAGTGTAACCTCTGCAGGCTATAATGAACAGATCTTACCAACAGACAATCTTGAAGGACTGGCTTCTCTGCTGCATCCTTGGCTTCGAGGAATCTTGCTCCGTTTTTGTGCTGTTGCAGGGTTAACGAGTACTCTCTGAACACCTGTATTCATAGTTGAAAGTGTAGTTGTAGTCAAAACTCTTCCAGGAGAACCAGAACGGCTTCCAGCTGAAGGCAAACAAAGCATGTGTTACAATTCTATTACGTAGAACAAGTTTCAATTGCCTGGAAGAACTTGAAGAAATTGTTTATAACCTAGAAAAGTATACTGTCTGACATCTAGTCAGCAGGTATTATCAATTCATGTCCAAAAATGCATTTAATTGTTTTGCTTTTTAACACGAAATTAAATAAGAGTTGATTCTCATTTTGTGTTATCCCTAAAAGTATTAGGCGAATTTTACCAGTATAAATATCATTACCAGCTACTGTTTTCACGATTCTGATATATTTGAAACAAAATATATCTAACATAATTTACATGACTTGTTTGGTGCCATTATTTTCCTCACATTCCACTTTTGAATACAATTTTACAACTATCTGATCACTTATAAAACTGGTGAAATTACTAAACAGCTTCCAAATTCCTGTGAGATTAGGTAGATTAGTAAGAAAACATACATTTAGAAAAATTAATGCTCTGAGTTATATACAAATATTCATATATTTATGAATTTACTTTTACCTAGCTATTGATTAGAACAAAATAATCAATAATCAACAAATTCACAAAATCTACTATAATATAGAAAATGTATTTTTATTTTTGGATCCTTAAGCCTCCATATAAGAAGTAGGAAACCTGTGGGCTTCCAATGTTGTAAAACAAAATCTTCTAGGTAGATTACCCTTGTTTTTTCAGCATAATGGTAAAATTAAATAAAAACTACTTCAACTTGATAGAAAATTAAACAAAGAACTCTAAGAACAGGCTTGAGTTAGAATATGCTTCTAGCTATGGATATGTGATCAATTTGAAGTAATGTTTAACCGTTATAATTTGGAAATGAAACATCAATCCTGAATACATATCTTCCTAGAGAGTCACCCTGACTTGAGCAGGCTTTATAGCAGAACATATATATATGTATGTATGTATGTATGTATGTGTGTGTGTGTGTGTATATGCATGTGTGTACGTATGTATGTATACACACACACACACACACACACACACAAACACACACACATACATACAAACAATTTCATTGTACATTGTAACAGTAAGAAATAAATAAACCCAATAAAAGATGATGAGGCAAGACAGTGCTCATGCAAATGTTATGTTATCATTATTTATGCAGTGGCATATTATAGTAATATAACAGCAGTTCCCAAACTGTACACATTATCATACTTATATGTGATTTATGAAATGAAACATAAGGCTCTAATGTTTCTATGAAAACAGCAATCAGAGAGTAATTTGTATCTACTGGTAAACCTTTGGGATTTTCTAGTACATCAACAAAAATTATAAAATACTGTGTTTCCCTGAAAAAAAGACCGGGTCTTATATTTTTTTTGAACCAAAAGACCCATTAGGGCTTATTTTTGGGGGATATCTTATTTTGCGGCTGCCCGCCCATTCCATCCTACCATCTAGTTGCTTGTGGCCGCAATGGGGCAGGAGCGCTCACGTCACACCAATGCCACCACTAAGAATTGAGGCAAAACAGGTGGGGGTGTGTGGAGCTGCCCCACATGCTATGCACCTGCTTATCTTATGCCCCTCCAGCCAGGCCACCCATGCCCTGCCACCTGCCTCGCTTTGCATGGTTGCAACAGGGCAGAAGAGCGTGCATTGCACTGGTGCCGCTGCCATGGGGTGGAGCTGCCCCTCACGCCCCACCCTCGCTTACCTCAGGGCCTCGCAGACAGGCCACTTCCCACTCGGTGACCTCCCTCACCCGTTCAATGACCCAGCTCCCTGCCCGCCTCTTCCCTTTGACTTCCCTCCCAAGCTGGTGGCATCTGCAGGGCAAAGCGGAGACAGAAGAAAGCCCCTCCAGCTGCGGATGCAAATGTGCAGTGGTGGCAGCCTTTTGTTGTCACTCCCCCTGGCTCCGAAATGGTGGAGGGGGACCGGGTAAGGGGACCAAGCCTCCCCTGTCCATCCTCCGTAGCATGACAGTCCAGCTCTGGAAGGGAGTGGAAGGGAAGATGTGGATGGGCAGCTGGGTCATTGAAGAGTGGGGGGGAGGTCACCAAGTGGGGAGTGGCCTGACTGTGGGGGCCCTGAGATAAGCAGGTGTGGCACACATGGGGAAGCTCCACCCCCCACCACCTGCCTCACCTTGTGCCAGCAGTACCAGTGCACAGCGCGGCCCTCTGCCCCATTGCTGCAGCAAGCAACTAGACAGTTGGACAGAGTGGACGGGCTCTTAACTAGGGCTTATTTTGGGGGTAGGGTTTATATTAGTTGCACGCTAAAAATGCTGCTAAGACTTATTTTCTGGGTGGGTCTTATTTTTAGGAAAACACAGTATCAACATAATTAACTTCTTTGCCAAAATTATTCTGTTACATTTAAAATATTTCTGAATAAATGAGAAATATTTTTGGCACCAGGGTTCATTTGGTAGTCCAGTAGGTTCTAGTATAAAACAAATCAGATCCAGAAAGTCAGATATATTCTAACCGAACTGAACTGAACTAAGACAACAGTATTTCTTCATCTCTGAAAGAGATAAAACAAGTACATATAATCAGCCCTTTTGCCTCACTAAGTGGGTATAATCCTTGCTGTCTAAAATATTTTTGGAATTTTGCTAATTTTTGTTTCAGAAATTGGAGTATAGTTCAGTTTTCAGAAGTCTGGGAAATACTGAAAATATGCTCTTTTTATATAGGAGTCTATGCAGCAGAAAAATGATTTATATCAAACCAGGTATAAGAATATATACATTGTAGATCTTTTAAAATTGCATTAAAATATTCAGGGAATTAGAACAACATTTACATAATTTGGAGAATGAAAACCTATTCATATTTCCCTATATTACCATTCATCAACTCACGGTATTATTTCTGAGCACACAGGATAATGAAAAAGCAACTGTAAATTGGTCAAATCTGTTTTTTTTTCCAAATGCATATATAACATCTTTTACCAAGGCTGCAACTGTGCACTAACTATATACTTTTAAAAATACTACTTATTTCAAATTGTTTTTTGAAGATTTGTGAAAACAGCATGCAGACCATAAACTGAATCTTCATACATAAAATATGCTTGATTGAAATATGTGACAATATTTTTTATTCCTTATTAGCATAATTGGAAAAAACGTATAAAATCACGAATGCGTCCCTAGTACTTCCTGTTGAAATTGTTTAGCTGTTCTCAATATGGTTTTGAGTCTTCATATATATAATTACTATTTTTGGGCCTGAAACATACTTCTTGTATACCCAAATACAGAATGTTTCTGCTGAATAGGATCCTGCAATTGATGGTCAAACAAGAACGCACACACAAAATCTAAAAAAACCTTACCACCAGACTGTGGATTAGCAGACTGTGATCCTGAACAAGTGTAAAGGCAGGAATAGGGCAAGGGTTTAAAATCCATGAAGAGGGAGGGAGCAGAGCAGGTTAATAATGAATGGTGAATGGAAATAAAAAAGCTTTAGTCATTTCATATAAAAAGCTGGAAATGCCACAAGAGGGTTAGGGCTAAAGCAGTGCATTTAAGTAGCTTCCATCAAGCTCAGCTGCTTATATACAACACAGACAGAAGCTGTATAATTACAGTTCTTCAGCTCTTGAACAAAGAACTGTAAAGTAATGAATTTAACTGAAATGTCACATCAAACTGTTGAAAGCTCTAACAAAGGTATAAGTGAATGTCTAATAGGTACAGAAAAATAATATTGTATTTTTCATTTTATAGAATCCAATGAAAGAAAATGAAAGTGAAGGAAAGATAATGTACAAGAATTCCATAGCTGAAATTCATGCAGAAGTGAAGAAGCAACTAAAGATGGCTGTCCAATTCTTTTAAAATCTACCTGCACGTTGAATCATTATCTGAATGATTCTGCATTTGTAAGTATGATGACAGAAAAAATAATTATGCTTCCATATTGTTAAAGTTTTTTTTAGTGAAAACTGCAGTACAAAACTATGCATATGCAGGTTAATTCCATCATTACTGGTATATACCCACAAGACTCAAACCATTGATTGAAGTAAATATTCTGGCATTAATAAATGATACATGATTTGTGCCAGAGTTAATGCAAATATGCAGGAGGTGTGATGGCATGGGTAAAAGTTAGCTAGTCTCAGGGATATTTAGTTGATTATCTCGACTAAACAATCTCTATATTGAGTAATGAATATATTTGATTTCATTAACTGGAGTTGTATTAGATTTATTCCTAAAAGAGAGACAACTTATGAAAAATCCACCCACCTAGGCAGAACAATCAATTACCCAAAGAGGTGATCATCTGTGGAGTTGCTTTAATTTGGATTTCTGCACCAAACAAGGAGTAAAAAGCTTCTTTAAATGAATGCTGAAAATATCCACCCAATCCTACTCCTTCCCTGACAAAGTCAGCTAAGACTTCTGAACCCGCTGTTTCATATAAACTCAACATTAAGCTTCATTCTTGTAAATTTCAACACAAGCTTAAATGTTTGGAATGCTTCCAATCAGGAAAGGTTTCAGGTTAATATAGAGATTAAACAGTTGCTGAAACTGCGTATACATTTTCATACACTGGCTATAGTACAGAAACATTTGATTACCATTTTTCACCTTAATTTTATCAAATTAATTATTTGAAAATAAGAATGGAAATCTGAACTGCTTTAATGTCAAAATAATGTTGTTTTAATGTTGTTTTAGCTAATTTATTTATTACATATATTACTTGTGGCAGTATTCACTGAGGTTTTTAACTTTATACAAAGATAAAGTTATTAAAATATTAACAGAATAATATTAATCAATTAAAGGGAAAAATTTAAAAAATGCTTATAATACATGAAAACCAGCTACGAAAAGGATAAAAAAGAAATAATACAAATACAAATAATACAAATAAGTAAATGGTAACAATCACAATTCAAATTTTCCTTTCAGTACATGTAGACCTCATTTAGTGACTGTCTCATTTAGCCACTACTTGTAGTTACAACAATGATGAAAAATAGCTTTTAATCCTTGAATTTACTACTTTTGCACATCTGAAAAGCGAAGGAAAATTGAAAGGAAGATCATAAGTACAGTACACTGTTTCGCTTAACAACTACTTTGCTTAACAACTGAGTATCAGTCCCAGTTTTGGTTGCTAAGTGAAGACTACCTGGTATTTGTTTTAAGAAGTTTATGAAAAATTAATAAAGTAGGAGCTGACTGTATTTCAGGAGGAAGGACAACAAGTTCAAAAAAAAGAAAATATCTCTTACAACCTTCTATTTCCTTTGCTTGTTTGTTTGTATCCTTTAAAAGTAGGTGACCACAAAATATTCTCAAACTGGGTGTTTGCACGTTTTGTTTTTTGTTCCTTTGTTTTATACTTGTAACCAAAGGTAACTTGCTCAGAATTGCTAGTGCAAATTGGATATCCAATAAATAAATAAATTCATGCTGGGAGAGACTGTGTTGATTGCATAAAACAGTCCCTGAGCTAATTCAGAGTCAAACAAAATCAGCACTTTTAGATAATTTATGTTGATGTGAGTCAGCAAGCAACTTTAAGACTAGTTTCCAGGTGATTTTCAAAGAAAGTGCAGAGTGCACCAGCGATAGTCCAAGCAAATGATGCTGCAATATCCATGTCTTCCAAATAAGGCTAAACTGGCACAGCAAATCTTGACAACGAACCATCAGCCACAGCATCTACTTGCCTTTCTAGCAATAACTATAAGTCTAGGACTCCCAGCCATCAATCTGCTTCTTTAGGGATAGTATTATCAACAGACAAGAGACATAGAAATCTCTGATGGATAAACAATAACTATCTCTTATGGCAGCGGTTCTCAACCTTTTTATACGGCGACCCCCGGTCACACGGATGCGCCCCCATGCGCGCTGCGCCACGCATGCGCAGCGCCGCCCCATGTGCGGTGCGCATGCGCGGCGGCGCCCCCTGAGGGGGAAAAAGGGCGGATCGCATTGTTTGGGGACCCCCGTAAAATGGTCGTTCGACCCCAAATGGGGTCGCGACCCATAGGTTGAGAACCGCTGTCTTATGGGTTCAACTTCAGCTTGTTTTGTCTCACTTTGATTCTCATAGTCTTTAGATCCTGTGTCAAAACTTGGACCTGGATACTGGACCTCAAACTGATGATCACCCCTAGCTGTTTTCATGTAGATATTAAAAAGTAGGGAGAGATTGAGTACTGTGACACTTCACCAAGGTTCATCTCTCCTACAGCCAGTGACTGGAATTGTCTATTAAATAAGAAACAGAATTTTTCTAAAACTGTGCCTACAGCCTCAATCCCTGCAGGCTAGTCAGAAGAATACTTGATTGATGATATTAAAGAGTTCTGAAAAGTATAAAAAAACAGAAGGAATATACTTCTCCATCCAGATCACAATGAAGGCTATCTGTAAGAGGAAGTCATGCTTCAGTCCCAGTACCAAGCCTAAAATGTGATTGAACAAAACTGAAATAATTTGTTCCCTAGTCTAAACAAGTCCAATCAATAGCCTAATGATGCAATATCGGAGAAGGATGTTTCACCTCCCTTACTGGTGAAAAGGTGTAAGCTTGAAATTGAGCTCATACCCACATTCAAACAGATTTATTTGTTTTGCTATTCCATCTCTGGGAGGAAAAAATCTGTAATTAATCAACAGACAGGCTGCTGGGAACAATCATATCAAGTGTTTGGTTGCTGTTTATTACCAAATAGAAAGGAGCTTTCGGGTTTTCTGGAAAAACCCCCAAAACTTGCAGGAAACCAGCTAAATATAGCTTTGAGAGACCTAGGATGACCATCTGAAATGGTTTGTGTGCTCTATAGAGGTCTTGAGTTGCATCCAGTATCAAAGGTGCTAGGAATTGTTTGATGATGGTAAAAGGTTGGTGGAAATACTCTCCATATTCTGATCACAAATCATTTATTTTGAGACAAGCATGGACCCACTTACAAGTATTGAACCTGATTATTACTTTCAACAATCCCATACTATGCATTAATTATTGAGTTTCACTAGAGATGATCCTTACAGAATGGAAATTAAAATTGTCCAACATCAGAAGACAAGGGAATTTCAAGCTCCTCATCAAGGGAAGAATCCTATCAGGTAAGCAGGTAGCTGCTTATTTTTGCAGCCTAATATCTAAGCCTTTAGTTGACTATCTCTGGGATAGAATACTTGGCCTCAAGTATTAATAAGTAAATATTACAATGTATCTATTACACTATGTTAGACTTTCACCTTGTCTTTCATTAGAATAAGAATTAGGTCATCTGAATACATATATCCACATCCACACCCTATCTCTCTCTCTCTAAAATTGCCATTTTATATTTAAGGAACAAGGAGCAATAATCAATTATAACTACCTGATAAATATATATGTAGTTGCAAAATATATTTGTACATATATTTGAAATGTAAATTTTAGACACTTAAGAATCATATAAGCCAAAAAGTCATGAACACATAAGCATGAAAATAATGGTATGTAAGTGAACTTTGGACTAGATGCAGTATTTAAAACCCACTGCCACTGAAGTGATTTAATTTGTCAAGACATTCAATTTCAGAATCAAAACATGAAAGTTGCAGGAACAAAACCTCAGAATATTTATCCACCCTACAATTATTTATTAATATGTATAGATGTTTGCAACAGTAATTTCTATAGTTTTATTGCAAACAGAAAATACATCCATCCATTACACATCTTTTAGAATATGCAACATTGTTTATGATACTATAACAAGGAAGAAGTGGTAAGTGAGACATTAAACATAAAGATCATTCTCATAAGTCTCTTAAGGAATATTTGCCTATGCTTGTAAATGTATTCACCATTAATACATTGAAAGTATGCATTCTATATTTTAGAAAATAACATTATTTTTAACAATGCTTCTACTTTCCTCAAATGTATATCAATTAAAAGCTGTGAGATCTATTTAGAGAGGTTTGAAAAATTAAATTAAAACTCATTCTCTTTAGAGTTGACAGTAATGTGGCTTTCTTTTCAAGATTTAGTCCCAATTGCCAAAATTAAAACAGAATAAGGAAATGTTTAGCCAACCAAAAGAAAATATAAACCAATGTCTAACTTAAGAGCATTTTCGGTACCCTGTTAAATTAATAGAACAATCCTAAAATTTTCAGAGGATAATATTCTAGTATTTGGAATCTGACAACTGAAGAAATGAAAATGGATTCTCTGTGTCCTAAGGGCAAAAAACTGATATTGCAGTATTTGAAAAATAAACGTATGGCTGCTTTCACTCAAAGAATTGATGACCTGAATGTACTTGCCACCTATGAGTGAATTGCCTATATATGTGAATTTTGTATGGATAAATATAAGAAAATATGGGAGTCATTTATACAAAATACAGTAGGTTAAAAATTATAGTTACATAAATGTATTAGAAATATATAATTTGAATAATACATTCCAATGTTCACTAATTTTGGAAAAATACATTCAATTCTACATAACAATAAACTTGGATGGAATTTCAATTATTGAATTATAATGTTTGAATTGTAGTTAATTAAAATGTTTTCAGGCATTGAAATATTATAACACCCACTAACTTTTTGCTCTCTTTCTGTTTAAACCTCAAATAACTATAGGATTTCCCAGTGCAGAAAGGTCTACTTTAAAAATTTCTACACTGAAAGGATTAATTTTTCTTTTTCTCAATATCTTATTCAAAATAACACAACACAAAGTATAAAAGACTCCAAAAGCATGCAGACTACTGACCCGAAACACTGAAACACTGAAAAAAAAATACCTTCATTTTTGTCTGGCGATGATGAACCTATGGCACAGAACAACAACTCAGTATGTAGTGTTTCTTAAGAAATATTTCGACCATATCCTTTGGTCAATGAATGTACAGTAGATTTATGGGTCTAAAACATTGTTAAGAGAGACAAGCAATACATACGTTGAGACTGAGATACAACTTTTGTTCGACTCCGGCCTCTGGAATCTGCCTTTGAATTTCCCATTCCAATAGAGGGTGTTGAAAATTTGGTTCGCACACGTCCTATAAAAGAAAGAAAAAGAAAGAAGTGTGTGTAGAAGTAATCTAGTTAATTGGGAGAGAAACAGTGCTACAGTGTAATTGAAATAATGAATCAGCTCCATTACTTCTCAACTCTTAGCAAATTTTACTTGTAAAAATTTAATAGATGAAGCAGGTAATAATTCCTTCTTTAATCTTATCCTGCATTTCCCATTGAAAGACTACTAGTATCTCTTAAATATATAAACATCGAATAAAATAATCTATCATATTTTAAATACAAATTATATACAATATTATTTATGCATCGATACGATAGTTTCTATTTTAAAGTAAAATATATTTTATTTTAAACAGTGTATGTTACTGTTACAGATGTACCATATCAAAATTGAAGTGTATACTGTCTCTCATATTCAAGTTGGATATCAATGTCTATTATCTATATGAATATGTGTATGTGTGTGCGTATATTTATGTTTGTGTGTGTATATACACACCCACAGCCATATTCTATTATTTTTTAAAAATCCAAAACATTCTAAAACTATTCACATGATTCCATTTTATTGAAGAATAGCAGGATAGATTAAAAGTAACTTAAAGACCCAACTTTTTTTTTCAGTTCCCAAAACAGAATTGCTCAAGTGTTTGAAACTTCCTAGTATCATGTTTGGTTAGTATATAAAAAAATAAAAATAAAGAAAAGCAAATACACCAAAGATTTTCAACACATAATTTTGTTAAATAGATACCAAATCATTTAGGTCTCCTACAAAAATATATTATTTACTCAGGCACAGAGGATAATGTACCGTCTTTGAGATGAGAGCCTGTATTCATTCAATTCTTGATGAAGTTATCAAACTAAGTTTCTTATACCCAATACGCTTTGTCTATAACTAACACACTCAAATCCATGCAATGACAGAATTTCTGCCATTCACTGTAATGTGTGTAAATGTAAAAAATTTGACCTGCAAACAGAAGGAATACAAAGTGCCACTATTTTGTTAAGATGTTAAATAACCAAAACAATCATTATTTTTACTTCAATAAAAATAAATCCATTCTGTAAGTCTTATTGTTCAGAATTAAGTAAGTAAAAAGTCTATTGAATGATTCTGTATTGTCAAATGACTATATATTAGACGAACATTCAATCGCTGTCATAATTTCAAAAATTATGAAATATGAGGAAAAAATTATTTGATCTGCTGATTTTGTACGTTTTTGTACTGACAAGGAAATGATCAGTCTATAATTTTAATATAGGTTCATTTTAACAGTGAGAGACAGAATAACAACAAAAAAAATCAAGAAACATTCATTACAAAAAAGTTACAATTGATTTGCATTTTAAATGAGTGAAATAAGTATTTGATAGTCTTTCAATCAACAAGATTCCTGGCTCCCAGGTATATTTTATATAGATAACAAGCTGAGATTAGGAGCACTCTCTTAAAAGAAGTACTCCTAATCTCAGCTTGTTACCTGTATAAAAGACATCAGTCCACAGAAGCAATCAATCAATCAGATTCCAAACTCTCCACCATGGCCAAGACCAAAGAGTTGTCCAAGGATGTCAGGGACAAGACTGTAGACCTATACAAGGCTGGAATGGGCTACAAGACCATCACCAAGCAGCTTAGTGAGAAGGTGACAACAGTTGGTGCGATTATTTGCAAATAGAAGAAACACAAAATAACTGTCAATCTCCCTTAGTCTGGGGCTCCATGCAAGATCTCATCTCATGGAGTTTCAATGATTATGAGTATGGTGAGGAAACAGCCCAGAACTACACGGGAGGATCTTGTCAGTGATCTCAAGGCAGCTGGGACCATGTCATCATGAAAACAATTGGTAGCACACTATGCCTTGAAGGACTGAAATCCTGCAGCTCTGCAAGGTCCCCCTGCTCAAGAAAGCACATGTACAGCCCCCTCTGAAGTTTGCAAATAAACATCTGAATGATTCAGAGGAGAACTGGGTGAAAGTGTTGTGGTCAGATGAGACCAAAATAGAGCTCTTTGGCATCAACTCGCTGTATTTGTAGGAGTAGGGATGCTGCCTGTGACCCCAAGAACACTATCACCACTGTCAAACATGGTGGTGGACACATTATGCTTTGGAGTTTTTTTCTGCTAAGGAGACAGGACAACTTCACTGCATCAAAGAGACAATGGACAGGGCCATGTACCGTCAAATCGTGGATGAGAACCTCCTTCTCTCAGCCAGGACATTGAAAATAGGTCATGGATGGGTATTCCAGCATGGCAATGACCCAAAATACATGGCCAAGGCAACAAAGGAGTGGCTCAAGAACAAGCACATTAAGGTCCTGGAGTGGCTTATCCAGTCTCCAGACCTTAATCCCATAAAAAATCTGTGGAGGGAGCTGAAGGTTTGAGCTGCCAAATGTCAGCCTCAAAACCTTAATGACTTGGAGAGAAATGGGACTAAATCCCTCCTGAGCTGTGTGCAAACCAACTACAAGAAACGTCTGACCTCTGTAATTGCCAGCAAGGGTTTTGCCACCAAGTACTAAGTCATGTTTTTCGAAGATGTAAAATACTTCTTTCACTCATTAAAATGCAAATCAATTTATAGTTTTTTTGAAATATATTTTTCTGATTTTTGTTTTTGTTATTCTGTCTCTCACTGTTAAAATGAACCTACCATTAAAATCAAACCGGTCAGTCCTAGATCAACCCTGACTGTTCTTTAGAAGGCCAGATCCTGAAGTTGAAACTCAAGTACTTTGGCCACCTAATGAGAAGGAATGACTCATTGTAGAAGAGCCTAATGCTGGGAAAGATTGAGAACAATAGAAGAAGGGGACGATAGGGAATGAGGTGGCTGGATGGAGTCACTGAAGCAATAGGCGTGAGCTTAAATGGACTGCAGAAGATGGTAGAGGACAGGAAGGCCCGGAGGAATGTTGTCCATGGGATCATGATAGGTCGGACATGACTTCACAACTAACAACAACAACAACCATTAAAATTATAGACTGATCATTTCCTTGTCAGTGGGCAAACATACAAAATCAGCAGGGGATCAAATAATTTTTTTCCTCACTGTATGATATGAAAAAAAATGTGCTCTATTTATAAAGAAGTTGGAGCCAACCTTAGAAAAAGCACCACTATTCTATTGATAATCTGCTACAAATGAAATGTTTTTGCGGTTGTTCGGGTTTTCTCCCACATAAAATTGGAAGTGTCTTGGCGACGTTTCGATGAAGTCCCATTTGTCATCTTCAGGCTGGTGTTTTCAGCTTCGTGCTTCGAGCAGCAATCGAAGCACGAAGCTGAAAACACCAGCCTGAAGATGACGAATGGGACTTCGTCGAAACATCGGCAAGACACTTCCAATTTTACGCGGGAGAAAACCCGATCATTGTTTTGGGGATCTCATGTTAGTGTTTTAAAAATATTTTGCCATTTGACAATATTTGATCTAAATCTCAGACACTGAACACTGATATCTAGTTAGATAATCATGATGCCAAAATAAATTTCAAAGATTGAGTAAATAGTAGCACCTATTCCCAAAAGCATGAGAATGTCTAGTGTGTCAAAAGTTTCACTAACTATTTTTAATAGCAAAGCAAATAAAAAGTTTACATATTTAAAATATAATAGATATTGATACGTTATTGCCAATCTGCATTTGAAAAAAAGACAAATACTGCAGCAACAAAGCGTTATTAGCTAAGCAAATGAATAAATAACTCCAAAGACCATGTTAATGGACTATATGGTCCGCATACAGTATGGCTTATGATGATGGAAATATTAAGATTTGCTCTTTTATTGTCTTACCATCTTCAGAAGCTGTTCCTGAATGGGAAAAAATATCAAAACAATGATATTCCAAACAAAAGCTCTTTTTTTGTTTTTGATAAGCAATAATTGTTTGGCTTCCAAAATGCATATAAAATATTTAATAGTGCTATTTTATAGTTTGCTATGAAATGATTCCTTAGATCCAATCAACTGTCCTGTGACATAAACCAGTGGAATGACTTGTCTTCAGAAGTTGTGGGTGCTCTATCACTGGAAGCTTTTAAAAAGAGATTGGACAGCCATTTGACTAATAAATTTTGTATTATACTTTCCCATCTGCTATGATGACTTTATGCTAGAGCTGTTCCACAGGTTATGAATAATGCATGAAAACTCAAGGGTAGCATTAACTATATTCACATGACAAAATCCTAATCTTGGTTCAATACTAGGTCTATATTGTTAGGAAGAAATGGAAGCCTTGGTTATCAAGAATTGGATCATTTTTCAAGATAAATTGTGCGTTATTCATTTTCATTAAAAGTTACTAAAAAGATAATAAATAAATAATTGTGCCTATAACTTAATCAACCCAGTGAATGCATTCTGTTATCAAAATCAAATGACTGATAGTTCAATCTTGGAAACAGTGCAATGGATTAATAGTTCAGTACTGGCCAGACACTTTCTTCATTTAAGACAAGAGTGAAAAAATGAGCCTGGATTACAGAAATTATGATATAATCCTCCAGTATGTTAAAAGTTTGCACATTTATTCTGAACAATTTTTTGTGTGAAATATATATACTTTATTTTGGTATATTATAAACAAACAAACAAATATACATATATACATCAAATGTACATTAACCTGTGACAAGAAGTGGCTAGTTTCAAAACAGTAGTTAAATGTAACAGATATCCTTGTAATAGTGAACTGGTGAACACTTGATACAATAAAATACATTATATCTATTCAAACTACAGGAGATGGAGATGATGCTCTTGATAAATAGAAGCTCATTTGTTTCACAAATTCAATCTAATGTTTTGTTGCTCATTAAGAACAGCCACATTATAATCATTAACAGAGGCAAAGAGACTGAAATGTTACTGTCAATTGTAATGTAAATTATTTTCCATTTAGCGAAAAGACTGGACTGTCTCATCTTATAAAAAGTTATTTTGACACTTTTGACAAAAGTCAATAACATCACCCTGGAAGATATACTTATGATTCCCTATTTTCTATATGACATTATTAGATCTAGTAGGATGGTTAGAATAGATATGGAGTCATTTGATTTGTCATAGGGCTTAATCCCATAGCATAGTCTGCTGTGGCTGGCAAATACCTGTTTTATGCTAGACATCCTGTGATAGGGAAACAAGGTTCAACAAGGGGTGTTATTGTCTGGTTTGGTACAACAGAACAGGAAAAGTACAGACATCTGCAGTTAGCACTGCAGAAAAAAAACTGTAATCAGCCTGCCTTCCTTTGGCACCTGTATACTGCACAGGTCAGAAAGAAAAAATATTTGCAGACCCCTCACATCCTAGATATAAACTATTTCAACTCTTCCTCTCAGGATGTCACTATAGGGCATTGCATGCCAAAACAACTAGACACACAGTTTTTTCCCTCATGCCATCACTCTGCTGAACACCTAATTTCCACAATACTATCTTATGCTTAAGAATATTTAACCATGTAGTATGGCTGTAATACTATTATCCTTCTAATCTTTTCTACTACCCTCTCCTATTTGTATCTTAATGATTATATTACTTTGTTGTTTGTATGTACACTGAAAGTTTATGCACTGGAGACAAATTGCTATTCTATTCTGTCTCTTCTGTTCCATTCTACTCTATTCTATTGCAAATTAGAAGCATTTTTATTTACCTCTCCATTTAGATTCCAAAAATTTGAGCAGCCATAGAATATGTACATACAAATGCATGTTAAAACCATGGCTGCTAATAGGTTTAAATAGTTTAGCTGGGAACTAGGTGAGAATTGATATTTTTATCTCTTTGGTTACATACCAGTATAATTATATTTCTATGTTTGTATCCAATTATCTAATTTTTATACAAATTATTGATGAAATGGCATAATGTTTTCTCATAATTTGTGTAACTGTGGGACTATGTAATGCTTTGGATTTGATTTAAAAGAGTTACCTGGAATGTGCAGACTGCAGATGCAGCATTTATTTGTGACTGATTACCCCTTTGCTTTCTAGCAATCCCAAAATTATATACTGCTATTTATGTTTGTTATAAAAAAGATATTTGTTTGTATTTTGCCATATTTTTATGACATAGATGGATTATTAAATTTCATATAAAATTAATAATAAAAAGAATAGATGAATTTCAAAAAGTTAAGGATCCTTCTCTTATAATAAATCCAAGAATATTGTCACATGTTTTATGAATTCCCACTGTTAATAAGATATTTATAATTTTAACTCATACCAATGATGCAGACTTTTTTATACAGTAGTGGCCAAAATTATGGAAACCATTTGGGGAAAGTGTATTTTTGAGGTTTGATGGCTAATAACACCACTTTATTTTGAAGTAGTACCATAAAATTATATATCATTGGAAAGATAATTTAATCAAGAATGTAATACAACATAGTTTGTTCAATTTGTACTGTATTCTATGAAAAGTTATAGCCAAATAACTAGAAAAAGGAAGCACAACTTGTTTAGGTTGATATCAGGTAGCTTTCCTTCATCTGATTGTAGCCAATAAGCGTGAGTGTTTAGAGAACCAATCAGGTGTCATCTTGTTTTGGCAATGAGCCAATCAGATCACAGTAGGATTCAGTTATTGATGTCATATATTGAAGCTGAGAGGAGGACACTTTTCAGTGTGTTATATGATTGCTATCAAGTTGGTTGGGGTTTTTTTTCCCTTTCATTTAGTGAGGTTGTAAAACGTAATAAAATTAAAGTAATGGTGCAAAGAGTTGACTGGTTGCCAAGAAAGCGATGTAAAATAGTATTATTAAGTGAATAAGGCTACAGTTATAAAGAAATTAGAAGAAAAATTTGGTGGAAATTTAATCAAAGGTGGCATTTCTACTGTACACTTTTCCCAAAAGGTTTCCACAATTTTTGCCACTACTGTAAACTTGAATATTTTAAAGAGAATGGTTTTTTTTTTAAGCCGGTGAGATTTTTCTCCAGTCTCTTTGCCACAAATTTTCTAACTGGTTCACTCTTTTCAAAAATCAGGAACTATTTTATCCCAGCTAGATCATTATTATACAGATCTATTCCTAATAGTTTTCCCAGTACTAACATTCATAAGATTCTTCCTCCTTATAATTTAGTATATTTTTCTCTAAAATTCTATCAACTATAAAAGTAATCCCTGAGTTATATCAGTTCATTTAGCACATTCAAAGTTACGCGATAAGAGCCCCGTAGTATTTATGAACAAATCTCAAAATTATGAAAGTTGTAGCACCATGGCAGTTGTTCGCCCTTATGAACTGCAACATTGGGCCTATTCCCCCCCCCCTGTTCCTCACAACTGCTTCTCCCTCCCATCTTGCTGCACCGGACTCACCTTGCAAAGATTTGTCTTCTCTCTGCCGCGGTTTCTTTGTATTTGAGGGAGTCGGCTTGGAAATGCTTTTTGCGCCAAGAGAGAATGGTTTTGGGTGCTGTAATCTCGTGGGAGTTCAAGCCATAAGATCCAGTCTTGGCACCCAAACTGTTTGTAAGCATGCCAGATGCTTTGAGACGATTTTGCTGATCCAAAGTCTCCTGTCAGCTTGCAAACATTTTGTGGAGACTGGAAGTGCCGTGAACTTTTGTGGCAGAAAGACTGGAGAGGAGATAGCTTGCTAGATCTTCGCAAGGTAAGTGACCCGGCATGGCAAAATTGGGGGGAGAGAAAAGCAATTGTGGGGAGCACAAGGTATTTCAGTGGGCCGGGGGAGGCCTTAGATGGTCTTAAGCAGGTGGCCTTAGATGGTCTTAAGTAGGTGGCCTGTTCCATCACCTCCCCCATGCCTCATGTTCACTTAACAATTAGCAAATGCGTGGGCGAAAGCAGGGAGTGATCATGTTCAAGGTATATGATTCACTCCTATGAACCCCCAAGTTACGAATGGAATGGGCAGGCTCCATTATATTCGTAACTTGAAGATTACCTATACAATACACCAAATTTGTCACATTGCAGACTAAAAAAAATTCCAATATAATTTTTTAAAAAATAAACCTCACTTTCTCCTTCCGTTATGTATTCAAGATGGACATTAATTAATATTTAAGTTATTTATATGTAAGGGTGTAGATCTATATATATGTTGTATATAGTACGTTTAAATGTGTTATGTATGTGTACACTTTGAGAGCAAACAACTAAATTTCATTTTTAATACGTGCTGTGGTGCCCACAGTAAAAAATGACAACAAAGGTTATCTAATCTAATCTAATCTAATCTAATCTAATCTAATCTAATCTAATCTAATCTAATCTAATCTTTTTGAACTAAGATATACAGTCATTCATCCACCCATACATGTTTTTCCACATTAGTCTATCTGGTCATGTTATATTTGAATTCCAGAAGAACTGAGGCACAATATATTAGTTTTATATGATACTGCAAATACTTTATACATTTTTATACAACCCACAATGGCAATTTTCTCATACTTTCTGGCATCCCATTACAGCTTTATTCAGTATATATAGAACCATACTATATTTTAAAATGTGGTTAGAAGTATATTTTGTTATAAATACTTATATATAGTTAAGAACTATATTTGGTTATACCTTCTTCAAGCTTTTTTATTCTGAAACTTTTCCACATGGTCTATAATCTATAATTTTCATTAAGCAAAATTTTCTGCCTTGCTTTTATATTATGTTAATGGCAATATACTGATATTGTGTATGAGAATATTAAAGTCATTATAGACTATTAACACATCCACATGCATGCACACAAGAAGTCTCAGGATTCCATTCAATTCTTTGCATCTAATGAAATGTATTCCTCAAAAACATATTTTAGAATAAACATTTAAATCACCAGACCTTTTTTTTTTTTTAACCAGAGTTAACATATCGAAAATTACATTTGGTAACAGGCTATAAGAAGTATAAAATTTATGAACTGGAGGTTATTTTATTTATCAAATTTATTTATTGATTGATGAAATATATATGGGTGCCCATCTACAGAAAGTGATTCTGGGAGATATATAACAGTTCAATAAAACAATGAATATAAAATAATAATGACCTAAAACCATTATATAATAATTAATAAAGAATTAAAAATTAAAAAGCAGAACTAAACAAAAATAATAGATGGTTATTAAAAATGAATTATATGTATTATATATTAACACACAAAACTTAAGGTTAAATATTGCAATTTAAATTCAACTATTGTACTGATAGTAAGAAAAATCAAGGTATGCCCTTGCTCAAGTATTTAAGACTAGCTTTGCAAAAATAAACAATACTATACAAATCATATTAACAAATCTTATCTAAAGCAGCACTGGAATAGAGCTGCACAGACATATGCCCACATATGTATTTATATCAATGCTTTAATAAGAAAATCTAATACTATTTAGAAGTTAGGTGAGTGTGTTATTCAAACCGAATTTGTTATGTGTACAGAGTCACAAAATCAGTTGTTTTAGAAATTGACAGACAAAACAGGCTCTTACCATCCATCTTATCAGAAGTATCCTCTTTTTTTGGAGTAGCAAGCAAAGAAACAGGAAAACTTAATGTGTTAAGACAAACTACTGACAAGGAACTATAAAATCTTAATTAAGGCAATCAATGTAATACTCATATATTGATATGAGTAATTTACAAACATTTAAATACTGAAATCATGCACATACTAATCATTAGCAAACAAGCAGTTCCAAAATTATTAATGAAACATAGTATCTAGTACCAATGGTACTAAAAATAAAGAATTTTATTAATACCTGTGTTGTCATAATATCACATAGATATTATTTGGGCACCAGGGACTGGTTCCAGGGAGAAAAGTTTTTCCATGGACCAGAGGGAGCATGGTTTCACATGCTGCCTGCATCCCATGGTTGGGGCTTTGCTTGTTTGCGTGGATCAATTGCTGGCATGCCGTGGACTGATGCTGTTCTGTGAACCGGGGGTTGGGGACCCAACATAGACATTTGACAGTTCAGGCTAAAAAAGAGCCAGAATATCCTATTTTTGCAGGATGCACACAGAGCTGCATATAGATCTGCATGTATGATTTATAAACTGGATCTAAACCTGGTTAGGCATGCTTTTCTAAACGGAAATCAGTGGGACTTAAGTTACTTATGATTAAAATCTTCCACAGATTTTAGTGGAACTAAAATATATTTATGTTTGGACTCTATTCAAATGAACAATTATTTGAGATCACAGTCCTAAAGAAGAAAGAAAATTCACTAGTATAAAGATAGTAGAATAGGAAACTTATGGATTTTTTTTTTTTAAAAAAAAATCAGTTAAATAGTAAGCATGACTAGTTCAACAAACAGCCAAGGTTTATTTTGTTACAATAATATTTTTTAAATATACAAAGAATCAGTGTTTATAAAGTTTGACGCAATAAAATACATTAAACTAGAATTTAATGCTACAGGGGAAAAAAGACCACACCCTAAAATAAATCTACATAGGTTATATTTGTTTTCTTTCATTTGTGGAATAATATACATGTTAACTTGAAAAAAATAAGATGCTGAAAACAATTGCCCCTGAGTGAAAAATAGGCAATAAATAACATACACAGATGAAATTTGTATGCAATACCTAGCTTTCTAATATTATCAATTTAGACATACTACTGTGTTTTCCCCAAAATAAGACTTGGTCTTATTTTTTTTTTCCTCCAGAAGAGGCACCAGATCTTATTTTTGGGGGGTGTCTTTTCCACTCACTTTGCTGCCGCGGCATCGATAGCCCCACCCAGCCAGCCAGCCCACTTCTTCTGCGGCTGAAGGAGCAGCTTCATTCTGCAGCTGAGAATGGAGCTTCATCAGAGGCCTTCTGGAAAGGCTTTTGCAGCCAAGAACCGAGCTACGGATTCAATCCATAGCTTGGTGTCGGCTGCAGAGAACTTCCAGAAAAGCCTCTGACTGCAAAATGCAGGCCAGAGGATGCCACAGAAGAAGTGGGCTGGTGAAGAGATGCAGCTGTTGATTCATGGGAAGCCTGGTAAGTGGGTGTGGGGCACGTGGGGCAACTCCATCCCCAGCTTGATTTTTAGGCATGCGCCTCGCCCCAAAACTAGGGCTTATTATTGGGGTAGGGCTTGTACTAGGCTCACCTAAAAATCAAGCTAAGACTTGATTCTGTGAGCAGTAGCAGCAGCAGTGCAATTGGTGCAACAAGATTTGTGGTGTGAGCGGCAGTAGCACGATTGACACAATGAGCCTTGTGGTGCGAGTGGCAGTAGCACAAAGAGCCTTGTGCGCAATGAACATTATGTTGCAAGTAGCGGTGCAATGCTACTTGGGCAGTGGCGCGACAGGTGTTGGGGCATGGGAGGCCTAGCTGTGATAGTGCTAAGGCAGTGGTTCTCAACCTGTGGGTCGGGACCCCATTTGGGGTTGAATGACCATTTCATGGGAGTCGCCAAACAACGCAGTCCGCCATTTTTTTCCCCTTTTCCTTAGCTGTGCTACTCCCTTTTATTCTATTGGCTTTTGAAAGCCAATAGAATAGACTCTCTTGAATAGAGTCTTAATTCTATTGGCTTTCAAAAGCCAATAGGAATTGTCCAGGCTGTGTCTGCCCTGCTGAGCCTGCCACAAGTCCCATTCTGCAAACAGTGCTGCACCAGTTGAGTAGTCCTCGACTTATGACCGATTGAGTAGTCCTCGACTTACGACCGGTTGGGGGTCGCGGCATTAAAAAGGTTGAGAACCACTGTGCTAAGGTAAGACATTCCCCGAAAATAAGATCAAAAAAATATAAGATTGGGTCTTATTTTTGGGGAAACACAGTAGCAATCTCTCTCCTAGCCCAATAAATGTATTTCAAGGAGATGTCCCATAGACTGATGTACAAATAAATACCTCCTATGACACACTTCACCACACTTTAAAAAGGGAGCTGGGTGAGGAGGCAAATATACACTTCATACAAATTACCTGTAAAATAATATAAAATTAATTGATTCCCATAAAACACCGATTCCATTCTCTTTTTCCAGTAGAAACAACAAAAAAGTTTTTTAAAAAATCAGGATGGAGAGCTGACTAGAAGAAGCTCTTTCTCTTTCCAGCTGCCGTCTGGAAAAACTCAAAACCTCATTTGCCTTATTGAGAAAGTGAGGAATCCAATTGATACAATAATACTTCAAAAAGTAAAGAGGATACACACTTTTTTTTTTTCAAAAAACTATACCAATCCAGATCTGGACATCTGACTATTGTAGCCCAGATGTATGGACTGACAACTGCTTTAATAATTCTAAATTAAGGGTAATATACTGAATGGATATCATTTAAAACTGTTAAATGATATCATTTAAAACGGATATAATTTAAAACGGTGAATAATTGCAAGCTGAACACACTTGTTCATATCTATCTAATTTTTTATCTTATTGCTTGCACCTTAACATGAAAAAGAGTTGGTATGAGTTTTATTCCCCCTTTCCTGCAAAGAATATAAATGTTTATAATTTTCATTGGGTAAGAATTTCGCAGTTACTAACATAAGAATAAGAAAAATGTTAAATGATATAATTCTCAACAAGAAAAGAGAGTAATGGATTCCCCTAATTTTATTAAGTGGAGGCATAAAAAAAATCTTTATTAATTAAACTAGTTTCTCATACTGCTTTATTTTGTTTCACATTTGTTATTACAAAGCCCTAGAATAAATTCATATGCCAGCATCTTATGAGAGCAAGCATATGAAAAATATAAATTAGTTTATCCCAGCTCCAAGTTTGCTCATCTTACATACTATTAGACATGTTAATACAGTGGTTCTCAACCTGTGGGTCAGGACCCCATTTGGGGTCGAACGACCATTTCACAGGGGTCGCCAAACAAGGCTGTCCGCCATTTTTCCCCCTTTTCTTTGGCCACGCCCCTGGCACCCAGTGATGTATAAGTGGTTGGGGGTCACCACAACATGGGGAACTGTATTATGGGGTCACGGCATTAGAAAGGTTGAGAACCACTGTGTTAATAGGTTAAACGTGTATTGATTTTTATAAGTGTTTTCTGAATTAGAAGGTTATTTTTAGCTGCAAAACTTTTCAACCTAACAAGAAAATCCCAAAGATGCTTTTCAAGCGGCAACTGAACTTTATTGTTTTTCTTTGAAGACATTTCGGTTTTCATTCAAGAAGCTTCTTCAGGAACAAGACAGTCCAATTACCTCTTGAAAAAGCACCTTTGGGACAACCATGACCTGGATGACTGAGAATCTCCATTGACACCTACTAACAAAAAAACATTGAATAATATGGAAAAAGCAGTGTCAATATCTTATTTACTATAAATTAATAAATGTCTTCATTGCTGGATAATTCTTTATTCACAAGCTTAGATAATTCACTGATATAACTGTAAATGAAGGGAAAATTCTGATGTGGTTTATTGTATATTGAACATGTTTCCTACCTAGTGAAGCATATGATCCTGGAGATAGACCAGCAGTTGCTAAACGACCAGTTCCTGATGGCTGACCAATAGCATGACGTGCCTTTGCCCCAGCGGCAGCATTAACATCAATGTCACTGCGAGACCTCTGCAGTGTTCCTAGGGTCGGAGCAGCTTTGCTGCCACTTGAAACTGAGAGAAAACAGAAAACTGCATATTAAGATTTCCACCTCATGCTGACAGTTTAAAAAAATCCTCAAGAGATTTGCCTAAATTATTTCTAAAATTTTCTAATTCCACCTGGTCTAGTACACTGAGTAACTCTTTGGGGGTACACAGAAAATTACCTCTGTTAGCCATATTTGTAGAACTGGGGGTGGACCATTTTGAAGAGAAGGGACGACTGGGGGGGGGAAAAAAAGCAAAACAATAGTTTTAGTAATGCAAATTATTGACATTTCAAAACAGTAAACATTTCCTGTTCTCTTCAATACTCTTAAACTTCTATAAAAACTCTAATCAGGAAACATTATTTTTGGGGGGGAAAAAAATCTTGAAACACTTTCTTGAAAAGCTCAATTCTGTGTCACTATTTTACAAAACCTGCTACAGGCTTTCACATTACTACCTAATATCGAACATGCACTGAAAGATAGGTCCCATCTAAATAAGGCAGTGAAGATATGTTACAATAAAAATACATTTTTATCTATAATAACAAGTGGAAATGGCCTTGGAAGGCAAGAGTAAGAGCTGAAGACTAGGCAAAAGTCAGATAAGAGGCAGCTGAACCTGCAGAACTGTGGACAAGGCAAATGGCTCAGAAGGGACTCTCCCTAGTTTCTTTTGGATTGTTTCTTTTGGATTGGAGAGGTGAGAGGTGAGAAATGTACTTTCAGATTTACAATATTCTGTTAAAAAAATCTGTTAATTAAATAATAAAGTTAGAGCTGCTATGTCTAGGAGTGCCTCTTGTCTAGACTCCTCCGCAAGGTTGACAATATTATAGTTTCTTATTCTGTAGGTGGAAATAAGTTCAAGAAAAATGCCCTAATCTGAAGTGGACTGTATATAGATCTTGTGGATAGAAGTATTTTCTTCTAGATTGACACTTACTTTAGACTTTCTTGTGAGCTGGAAGATGACCTATCTGACTGTGGAAGTGATGCAATGCTACCAGAATTCTTTAAGTAAGTCTGGAGACTTCTTTGATAGGATGGTTCAAGACTATTATATAGAACTTCTGCCTCACCAGGAAAATGATTTCTTAGGCCCAGATAAGTCCTGAAAGGAACAACATAAAATTTATTAGAGGAAGGAAAACATTTCTGGAAACAGAAACAATCTTCCAACACTAGTAAAAAAATTAATCTTTCTAACATTTTAAAAAATGAGAAAACTCTCAACATCACAAAACTGTGTCTCCATAAATAACTAAAATGGAAAAGAACAATAACTATTAACTTACTGTGTGTGCTCCCTGGAGTCATTGTATGTTAGTGGATCGTTACATAAATCTATTTATTTGTTTATTAAATAAATGTATGAAACCACCCAACTAACACACAATGACACCTGGTGGCATACAAAATTAAAAATCAACAATATGTATAAACCCTAGAAACTCCCCTCCTAAATATGGGGGCTATCTTTTTCTGCTAAAATCAATGTTTTCAAATTAGTTAAGCCAAACTTTAAATTAATCTTACTTTCGTGCCTCCACTCTTGCCTCAGCATCAGCATCATGAATGCCCTTTTTGATAGTTTCAACAAGAACAGCTGCATGCCTGTAAGGGAAAACCGGAAATAAATATTACTTCCAATTTATTTTAACTTTATCAGAGGAGTTGCTGTTTCTTGAAACAAATTAGACAATGAATGCAAGAAAGTTCTCAAATAAGAGTAGAGAACCTTGCCAGCTTTACCCAGACCCAGATGCTAAATAGTTCTAATTAGTACCTGGACTAATATGGACAAGCAAATGATTTGATGATTTGTCTTGAGTCACACATAAAGGAGTACAATATCTCCCTGCTTTGGGACAACATTGGGAAAAGCCTAATGAGGAGATATAATAAAATCTGAGATCAAGATATGTCTGAGTTCTGCAGGAAATCTGGAAAGGAAATTTGGAAGCTCTGGGTTTACACTAGAATGAGGATTATGGATTGAAATTCTAGCAAGATAGCAATTCTGCAGTATATCATAAATAGACAGAATTCATGTTAATATGTTTCTCATAGAGATATTGGGAGAATAGTGAAAGATCTGGTAAGATCTTAGTTAATACAAAAGAAAGATAAGGCAATGATTCCAACTATTAGAGGTGAAAGAGATGAAATCTATACAATTTTAATAGATATAAACTGTCAATTTTTAAAATTTGATTCAGACTTATATAGTAATCCAGAGAATATATTGAATGAAGATATTTAGTTTTTTAAAAAATAAAATTAAGCTACCATATGTAGATTACAAAAACAACTTGGATTTGCTCCACTATCTGAAGTAGAAGTTAAAAAAAGGCAAGAGGTAAAACACCAGAATTAGATGGATTGCCTATTGAGATATTAATCATTAATTAAGGTGGATATATTAGTAAGGAAAAGAAAAACAAAGTCCAAGATTAACCAGAAAAAAATGAACATATGATCTTGATCAGGTAAGAAAAGAATAGTGTGTAGATATGAGTGTGCAAAAATTCTCTTCTAGGAAATATAAAAAAACTATTTACAATTCTTTCCCCTATCATTGACAAAAATTAGAACTGGACTTAACTGCTACCATTCAAAAATAAATTTCTATAAATGAAATGTTTCTCTTTAGAGGAGAGGATTTCAGTTACAGATCTAATGTTTGAATGCAAAAATGCAATTTTAGAACTATATTTGACTGAGATGATCATTATTACAAACATGATTTCACAGTTTATTAAGAGATGCTGTTAAAATTAGAGTGCATTAAAGTTGGCCAACTATAACAAATTTGAAATGATAATACCATCAAACAACAACATCTACCTATCCCAGGTCCTTGAGAAGGATTCGATAGGTGCATAAAAATGCCAAATCTATTCTAAATATCTGGTTGACTGTGCAATCAATCATAATAATAAATCACAACTGCACTGATTCCTCTGTCAATAATAGGCCATGGCTACTAAACATCAAAAACATCTGCCAAGCTATCCTACCTCCTTTTACATGTATGATTTGAAATGATAGAAAAACACTATCTGAAATAGAATCACTGCTCAACAGTTTCCAAATATACAGCCAAGATATTACAATGGAGTCTGGACTACACAAATGTGCCACCTCGCCAGTAATAGAGGAAAAATAGTGAAACTGAAGGAATCAAGGTGCCCTGTAGAAATAACCTCAAGAGTTTGGATAAAAAAAATCACTATAAATAGCAATAGTACTTAATTTCAGACCTGCCCCAATCTGACCCCTTAGAAAAGAAAAATACTTGCCACACCTTTTCGGGGTCCATCTCTATTCCCTCATGGGAGATGCAGTAACCTAGGTAATCAATTTTACTCTGGTGGAATTTGCATTTGGATAGCTTGGCATATAGTTCAACCATCAAAGCTTCTTGAGCACAGCTCTGACTAGTTTTACGTGTTCTGCCATGATCTCAGTATAGAGGAGGTATAGACTCCCAGGTATTCATGCAGTACTTAGTTTATTAGCTGCATAAACACAGCAGGGTTCCCTTGCAGTCCAAAAGAGAGGACCCAGAACTGGAAGCAACCAAAGAGGCAACTGAAAGCCGTTTTTCACTTATCCCCTGCTTTGATCCTCACTTGGTAGCAGGCCTCCTGCAAATCAAACCTGGTGAAGACCTTTCCTTTGACCAAATGGGCCAGCATGTCCTTCAATTCTATGGGGATGGTCACCGGATTGACTGTGCGGTGTAGGGATCACTGTCGTAGTTTGACTCATTTTCCACGTGGCTCTCCCCTGGGTCAGTTGGGGTTCTCCCATCCTCTTGGGCAATGGGGTAAATTCTATGACTTCCACTACCTTCAAGGAGGTTTCATGGGCTTGCTATTGTGGTTTCTTTGGTTTTGGGGCAGCAGCCTGAGTTGCCTTCTTGGCTGGGCATGCAGTTCAGCAGGCGGCAGCTTGCTGCCCCTCCTTCCCACCCCTGAAGCAGCCAATGGACTGGCAGCATGGGCTCTGCTCACGTGGCACTGATTTTGGGGCCTCTTTCTTTTCATGGGAGGACCTTCGCCATCCACGGTTTGGCCAATATCTGGATTGAGCCAGGTCGATTTCTACTTCCTCTGCTAGGACATACCAGTCATGGAGATTGGGGGGGGGGCACTTCTGGAAATGTAGGTGTTGCAGACTTTGTCATTTAGCCTGCCTTGGAAGCATCTGATCAAGAAGTCTTCTGGCCAGTCAGTCAGTCAACAGGCCAGGTCGCAAAACTCGTGGCTATACTCGGCCATCACTGTCTCCTTGCCTGATGGTTTTTATGCAATCTCTGGCTTTGTGATTGGCTAGAGGGTCTGCAAAGCTCTTCCAAAGTGCAGCTATGAAGTGATCAAGGTTTCTTAGTTCCGGGCTGTCATTGTTGTGGAGGGTAACCATCCATTCAGCTGCAGCCCCCTCTAACACCATGGTCACGCATTGCACTTTAGCCCCTTTAGTAGCTATTTCCGGATCATACTTTTGCACGTATGTCCAAACTTGTGCCAGGAAGAATCCCAATTGCTGGTGATCTCAGCTGAATTTTACTCCCAGGGCTGGTGTCTTGGGTCTTCTCCATTTGTTGATGCTACTCCTACAGCTGGTATAGGCTGGGCTTCAAGGTCAGGTGCTGGGGCGGTTGCAGTTGCTGAGGGGCTCGTTGCGGCTGCCATTGTGGTGACAGAGGTAGTTGCCCCTTCACTTGCTGTGGCTGGAGTTGGCTGGTCAATGGATATGCCGCCCGGGCTAGGTTTCTCGAGATTTGAGACTACCAAATGAGTTCCTCATGAAGTTTATGTCTTGCTCTAGCATCCAGTCCTCTTGCTCTGGCTTGCCTGTGCTCAATTTTTCCTCCAGTTCTGGGTCTCTCGCTGGTGGCTGTCTCACCTTCTATGGGTGAATGTCATTCCTATGGATTTCTCTTCCCATTCTTCCTTTTTCCTGACACCAAGGGACCTCCCTTGAACTGACATCATTTGCATGGTCCCCACAAAGTTCCTCTTTGGGCTGACTACAACTGCAGAGCTGGCTTAATATCAGATCTGCCCCAATCCCCAATTACGAAAGAAAAGCCTTTGACTCCCTTTGATTAAAGTAAGGGTTTCTTTTATTAAGAGTGATGGTTGCAGTAAAGCCAAGCCAGCTCTGAAATCCACACTTGCTGAATACAAAAATAAAAGGTAGGTTTGCTCCCTAGCCCATCCCTCCCCCCATGACCAGTCTGTTTCCAGCCAACTAAAGCTCGCCAAGATGTTTTGAGAAATCTAAGACGTTTGGAGGTAATTGCATATTTCTCAGGGTGTCTGGCTGTGGGATGCTGGTACAAACAGGATCCAGCTTTTCTGGTCCTTCTCACCTGTCACTGCCCCCATCCCAATTTCCTATCATGTGCACGCAAAGCATTGGAAGAATATCTGCAGGACAGTGAAGAAGATGCACTGAAGGCTTACCAAGTAAAGCAAGGTTCCCCAACCTTTCAGGGTTGGTGACCCGGAGTGGGAGGAGGGGGGAAAGAAGGGATTGCTTTGTGGGAGGGATAAACATCTGTGGGGCTGTGAATGGCCATGATACTCGCAGAAGTGTGCCATGGAAGTGCATGCACTTGCGCACATTGGCCAGCCATTCACATGGCCCTGTGGTCAATTGGCTGCAGCCTGATAGTGCACTGGCGCCCACAGAGAGGCCAAACTGATCTACTAGAAAGATTAAATGAAGAACAGAAAAAAGAGCTGGCAAGACAAAATATTTCATTGCCAGTACATTAAAAAATGAGCATTAGAAATAAGGAAAAGTATGAACAATTCATTGAAGCTAGTACATGGGCAGCAAATAAAAATAGCAGGCAAAGCAGATAATAACAAGACCTGACAATAGCTGAGAGCAGGAAAGTTGAAGAAAGAAACTGAGGGGCTATTTCAGGCTACACAAGACCAAGTCTTAAAACAAATGTGTACAAAATCAGAATTGAAAAGACAGTACAGACAGCGAATGCCATCTCTGCAAAGAAGCTGAAGAAACACTGGACCACTTAGTTAGCTGCAAGAAGACTGCACTGATGAATTGCAAACAATAGCATGACAAAATAGCAACAATGGTGCATTAGGAGATGTACAAGAAATACTATTTATTCATAAGCAGGAAATGGTAAGCCTACAAAATAAATTAAGTAATAGAAAATGAAGAAGCTAAGTTGCTTTGGGATTTAGAATTCAAATAGAGAAGCACCTGCCACATAACATCCTAGGCAAAAAAAATCTGGCTAGTAGACTTAGCAGTACCTGGAGACAGCAGATAGAAGAGAAAGAACTGGAGAAAATCACAAAGTACAAAATTTGCAAACAGAAGTAGAATAACTAAGAAAAACATTTGGAGCATTGCTTGAACAGCATCGACAAAATCAAAGTAAAGGCAACTTTATTTGAAATAGCTTACAACCTATAATACTTTTAACACCATCAAATAACAACATCTGTCTATCCCAGGTCCTTTGGAAGAATTAGATAGGTGGATAAAAATGCCAACTCTAATCTAAACTGACTGTGTGACAACCACAATAATAAATTTACATTACCAAACAACAACATCTT